GCAGGAATCGTGTTTGAAAGAACCAATGACGTAAGACTATATCTCAATATCATGCGGTTAGAAAATCGAAGAACACTACTTACCCTACAGTTCGGCTTTAAGTTATTAAACGGCCACATAAACTGTCATACTATCTTGTCTGACATTTACTTTAATGTTCCTCAAAGATTCGTTCGATCTTCGAGGCTTCTTTACATGAGACTTAATCGAACTCTTTACCTTCGTAACAGTCCTCGAAATCGATTGTTGGAGTTATTGAACAATTTTAATGATAAAATCGATTTATTTAGTGTATCTCTCCCGATTTTCAAATGGAATACTATAATACTTTTAACTGAATGACGTTGCGTGTTATTATATCAATATTTAAATTTAATTATTTCGTGTCATCTACTTAGGTACACGTAGTTGTTAGCTACGATTATTTATTATTATAGTATATTATATTGTAAATTGCCCTAGGCGTAAATAAACATTATTATTATTATTATTATTGGTGAATTTTGTTTCAAAATCAATAGAGATAAAATAGTCGTATGAAACTCGGTCACTAAGTACCTACGCAATTTTACGTTTGTAAACATTAGTTACGCCGAGCCATAGCCCAGGGCGCTAAAAACATAGACCGGCGGCCTGCTTATCCATCGTTTTTGAAAAAATTTTCCTGTTTCCGTATTTTCGATATTGTATTTGTTGGAAAGTCTCCTAAAATGCTACATATATCATTATTGTAGATTAATGGATAGGTAATTTACAAATTACAGCTAAGGTAATTAACGAATTGGTACTACACTACTTATTTGTTGTATAGGTAAATAAACGCTACACTTGTGAATAATTTTTTCAATAAAACAGTTCATATAGGTGGTTTTTGTAATGTTTATAGTGGTTGGATGCTCCCGCTATTGGATGTTCTAACAGAAGCGAGTAATGATTCCTTATGAAAGTGTTTCCTAGGGACCCTCAAAGAAGAAAGCCATGGGTTGCTAAAGTTAGAGAGGAAAAGGGGACACCTACGGGTAGCGCATTCCTTTGTGAAGTACCTACCTAAGTAAAATAAAATTCGTACTTATTTATATCTCTACCATGAAGTCAGAAAAGTAAGAGTAAAATGTGTTTATGCGAGTAAATCCATTATGTTCTCAACAATGTAAATAATAAAAAAAACGGCAACTTGATGTTTATTTGTCCCAGGTTATTACGTATCGATTGATAACTGAAAAGAAATGGACATCTAAGAATTCCAAATTATAGGTAATAGGTACAGACGTACAGATACATTTTGTGCGTTTTATGGGTTTGGTATACGTACGCAAATCAATACTACCTAAGTACTCGTATTTGAAATGAGGTTGTTCATGTGGCAACTGTTTCAAACGTACCTGATTTATGTAGGTACACAAAATAATGTTGGATTGATCTCAAAATATGGTATTCTCCCATAAGCTCAATGATAAATTTGGAAAAAAATGGCGGATATGAGCGTATGGCGACACTGTCTCTATAGAGTCACTATGTAGTTGTGACTGGTGCTGAAGGAAATAATTTTAACTGTTTAACAATATATCGAAAATATGCAGCACTGATGCGTCCAAAAGTTCTAGGCGATGGAACATTTTCCTTGAATTATCGATCAGGCAAATGTACAGTTCAACCAATGAATATAAATACTGCATCCTAAATTCCTAGATTAGTGGCAAGCTACTTGAAATTGCAGGATGACGTGTAATTTTGTTACTGTGTATTAGTGTATGAATAACTAATAAGTAGGTAATAGTTCACATTTGGTATTTGAGTAAGAAACACTTGTATTCAATGACAGGATTGATCAAAGAGACTAAAAACTCTCATAATCAACCACTAAAATTTGGCGCCTAGATAACATAAAATCATAAGTCTGTGTAAAATTGTTCAAAATTTTCCTGGTCACCCCTCTGGTACGCCCCCCTGTATTTTCCCGGGTGCAGCACTAGTCTTCTTTCAGCAACTCTAGGTAAAGACCCGTCGTTTTGAATTCTGGATATATTACATAGTACTCTTATACATTATGTATGTGACAACAGGGCTGAGCCAGGAATTTTTCAAGGCTACTGCTACAAAACTACAGTTGAAATCCCTACAAATATGTTGACTAATCCACTATGGTTGAAACATATATATTTTGTAGATAATCCTAATCAGTGGTATCTTTACGTACGGTGCCAAGGGGCCCCGCGGGATGAGGGGCCCTCGAGACGAGACGCGAGCCTTAAATATATACTTAATTACAAATTGCAAATGTAACTAAAAGAAATTAGTAATAGTAGGTTTTCTTTGTCTATATCTGGAAATTCAAGTTATAGTTAACTTCCTTTAAAAACAACAAACAAGTTCCTACAATTTCTGTCAAGGTACACCGTACAGTCCCGTAAACGATGCTTTTCTTATAAATTTTATAGACCTAGACCGGGCGCAAGTGTTCTTATAAATTACTGTCCATTAATATATACAGTGTTATTCATTTAGAAGTAGACATAGGGATTTTCTGTTTATGCAACCAAAATAACAAACGCACGCATTTTGCACTGTCATTCTAGATTTTAATAAAAACCACAGTAAATAGTTTGCTTTTAGCGAGGCTTTTAGGTTATGATGAAAAGATTCGGTCGCTATATTTCCTCTAAGTTTCTTATGGGATTCTCTTCCACAAAAATTAATGGCCGTTTGCACCGACAAATTTAAGTGGAGCTTAGCTTAAGCGTAGCTTAAAATCCATGGCAACGATTATTGAGACAATGGTTACCATGGATTTCGTAAATTTGTCGGTGCAAACGGGCATAAAACATTCAGCTTCATATCCACCGTTAAAATTGAGGGCTGTTTACGGTCTTGTGTGGATCGCATTTCAACAACCACTAATTTTAGAGTACCTAGTCAACACAGAAAATAAGTCTCTTACGCTCCATGAACTGTTACCCGCACTATACCAATATATACGGAAGCCAAAGCGATAATATTCCAATTAATTAATATGACAACCAGATCTTCATTTGTTATTTTGGTTGCATAAAATTAGGCGCCCTTTAGAAGACTGTTTGTCATTTAAAACTAGACAAATCCCTATATGTCTACTTCTAAATGAATATCACTGTATAAATATAAGCGGATTTTAGAAAGAGTGACAGGAACGCTATAAGTATATACCTACATTTTTGTCGATACCCATATTTATTCATTTTAATGATATCATTTTTCTGAATTCCGTATCTTACAAACAAGGGGGCCCCATACATGTTGGTGCCCAGGGCCCCCAATTGGCAAATGACGGCTCTGCCTAATTTACGCGAGCAATAAGGCACTATTTATACTGTTGAGCTGAGCTGAGCTGAGAATTTGAATACACGAGCGAGCGTTTCATCTAGAGCGACAGAGTACAAGAGCGGTTGCTCCAAGAGTGCTAAACATAATTTTTTCCACAATCATATTCATTAAGTAAAATAAATTTGGCGTTTGCGATTCGCATTTTACGGAACGTCAACGTCACGTCACCCACCGGCAACGTCACGTCAAAATATTGAGATTGCTTAGAACACACACAGAGACGTAACGGAACGCACTGTCAACGTCACGAACGGTCGAGATAAGTTTCAAACATTTCTTTGACGTGACGGTGACGCTGATGCTATATTCCTTCTATTTAATTTGAGCATAAGAACATGATCCAGAATAAAAAATCCAATCACAACCATCCTAAGAAACTATTGACGTACCTATAATGTGAATTGGCAGTAACCTGACGTTGCCGGTCCGTGACGTGACGTTGACGTTCCATAAAATGCGAAATGATTTTCTTACATTCATTTTCATAGCAACCGAAGGCATAGTAACCAATCAACACATTTTGCTCACTAGTGTTTCCCATTTTGCTCACGATAAATAGACGAAAGCATACTATTAATCAATGATTGACCTTGTCAAAATATCAGTGTGAAATTCTTATCACAGCTTAGTTGTGGATCGCATTTTATTATAAATTAAAAAACAAGGTTTATTATTTGCAATATGAGAGTTTATAAATCACATCACTAACCATGATGCAAAATTCCACAGTAAGTTATGTATTTTTTGGTCTACAGGGCGCTATTTTATAAGTTTATCAAAGGCGAAATTCTCACAGTATCATTGTGGGCGTATCTGTCACTGGAATATAAGCTAGTAAATACAAAAGAATGGCATGATATATTTTTTAAATTATTGAATTAACACCATTACAATAAATAACATAAATTACACAGTTTACATGAAAGAATATATAAATAAAAACAATACGTAGATATAATTAGAATCTCTACAATAAAGAAATACCTATAATTTTTGCCATCATAAAATAATACGTAGGTTTCTGAAATTTCTAAAAATATACTATGCTAACTTTTTTATCGTACACTTAACTATGCCCGGTAAAGTCACTACTTGACATATAATGGTAACTAAAATGGTCATCGAATCCTTTTCTTTTTTTACATTACATACTATTACTTACTTGAAATTTTATCACAATTCTTTAAGTAATCCTGTTGGTTTTCGATAATCAGTGAACTGACTGGGTAGTACACTAACTGCCAACTGTGACCAAATTTTGCACTACTCACTTTGGAAAATACTGAGGAGTGAACTGCTAGAGCTAATTACTAATAATAATAACATATTCCCAAAAATTTACATCAACAAACATAGAACACAAATACGAAACAAAATGGAATTATATATTACAGCTAAATATTTATTTATATTATATAAACACTATCATAGACTTAACCACAAATGTAAGCAATAAGGGAAACATTTAAAAGGAGAAACATCCATAGACAATGAATACTTAAGGTTTGCGTCATTTCTTAACTAGCTACATTATACTTACTGGCAATCATTACTTGGAAAATTGTTACCATATACCTAAACACAGGAAGATAGATGTAAAGAAGACAATATCTCAGTACAATTATTGCTACTGGCCACTCAAATGTAAGTTTTGCTTATTAAAATGGGATTTGGATGTAGGGTACCAAATGGAAAAACCTTAACACCACCTTTAGTGGTAACATTGCAAGAGAATGGAATACTTTGACACAGTTCCTGTAGTTCATGGGTAGCTAACAAATTTTTGTCAGGATTATCATTATTCATTGTTGGAATTATGTCGAATTCTGCACATTTAGCAACAACATATGATTTAATGAATCAGCTTCTATAAAAAGCAAATCTTCTGTGTTTTAATACTGAGATGACACTGCAAGAAATTTCTATTTGATGACAAATTACCAAATGAACGTGTCTAATTGAGCAAGAAGTGGCCCTTTAACAATTAACACCTGATTAAACAGACTAGTACTCACCCAGACCTCATTTAATTAGTGGGAAACACACAAATTAAATTGCATTTAAACACACGAAATTTTAAATCGGTAAAGCTTAAAGTTTCTAGCAATTTATGTAAAAATATTACATACTAATGAACTTAAAACTGAAAAATAAATAATATTTAAAACATAACAAACTAAAACTATTCCACACTGTAAATGCATCAAAATACCATTTAAATATAGGTACCTATTTTGTACATATTGCACATTAAACAAGGAACAAGTCAAAAGATTAGTTCATCGGTGGCTCCAGTAAATTTCGATTTGTTAATGAATCTTTCAACATGTGAAACAGCTGAAGCTGCTGTTCAGGTTTCAGGTATAATACTTGCGAGAGCAGTTTCTGCGGACTATCCGTTTGAATAAAGCTAGTCAGGTATACATTCACAAAGGTGGCCATTAAAAATTGGCAATCAAAACGATCCATTATTCCACCGTGACCAGGAATCACGTCTCCAAAGTCCTGTAAGAAATAAGCCGTTATCTACCAAGTTTCTGCATTCAAATGTTTTTGATACAGAAGGCGTCCTCTCTTGTCATCTTCTCAAAGAATGAATCCCAGACTGGATATATATATCTACTGACATAACCTACCTTTATTTTAAATGCCCTTTTAAATCCCGAAGCAAAAAATCCGCCAAACGGTCCAATCACGCTACTAAATACCGACAACGATAAAGAGTGCAGAATAAACGGATACAAACTTATAGTGTTACGTATTCCAAGCTGAAAATGTACACAAATCAAACTGATAGTAACACTAGGTAACATTCGCTTACAAATCCCAAGATTCCTGACAAATATGTGGGTAAAGTATACTCGGCTGGTCTAAATAAGGCGCTAGGTTCGCAGTCCATTGTCATATGACCTTCCACTTCATTGTAAGTTATTGGGCAAACAAAATAGGGATAGTGACACAACAACCATGAGAACTAGAAGCAGATTTTTATTTTAAAAAACAACTAGGACTGTCACTTACAATGCATCCGAATATAACTGTGGAGATTCCCCCACCAATAAATCCTTCCCAAGTCTTCTTCGGTGACAATTTTATTAATGGAGTCTTCCCAAAAAAGAATCCAAACACATACGCCATAATATCATTGCATATAATCATTGAGACAGGCACAATAAACCAAATTAATCCCTCAAATATATTCTTTATAATCAAATACGATTGAGTGACGACAATCAATAAAGCTACGTGCGTCCATGCAAACAAGGAGAACTGTTTCATATAATACTTTTTGACTAGACTTAAAACGAACCATACGAATCCTCCACAATACAGACAGAAGGATATAAAACGATGGTAGGTGACCAAACCTCTCAAAAAATCCTTAAAATTTGATAGATTAAACGTTTATAATAAACGGGAGGTGCTTGCGCTTACAGTTCTGTTAAAAGCAACTCCAAAGTAGTCGACCAAACTTTCTCCGTAAAAAAAATAATTGGACGTCACCAGAAAGTACCATGATAGAGATCGAAACCACGGAAGTCCGTGAATTCTGTAGACAGCGTAGCCTATGTTGATTATCTCTTCGAAACATTTCACTTGTACGACTAAAGTCTGGAACACAACAAAAATAAATACATGCATCAGTTATGAATGATGATCTTCTATGACAGAGAGTAGTGGTTAGCCACTGTACTGGGTCGTTTAAATTCGTGGCTCAAAATAACTGATATATCACCGGAAAACTGAAACATTTTTGCTAGCTTAAACGGTCGGAAATTGACGGTCTCTGTAAGCACCTTCTATGGGACTTTTTTTTCAGAGAATCTGAATTTCCATAGCACGCTGGATGTAGAAGCTACACGCTACTACTTTCTTATTTCTTATGGGGCCATATTGGATTTGTACGGAATGAGATAGAGGACAAAAAAAGAAAAATAATGACGTCTATATATATAATTTCAAAATCAAAAGCTTGTACATTCATTTCTCGACAAAACATCTACAGGTAACTAGATCTTGGTGAATCAACATTTCATCATGGCGATGCATTCAAGTGAAGTTCTTTGTTTGTCCTCTCATTCCGTAAAAATCCAATATGGCGCCCATAAAAAAAAAGTAGTAGGTTATAGCTTTAACATCTAGCGCGTTATCAAAATTCTCGAAACAAATTCAGATTATCCGAAAAGAAATGCCCATGGATGATGGAAAGTGCTAACCAGAACCGTCCATTTCCGACCGTTTAAGCAAGGAAATATCTCAGTTACTTTCAAAGTGACAAATGATTCAAAAAATAGGAAGCAACCTATAGTTAAAACTTATAATCGTTTTTCAATGTAAGCACTTAATCAAAATCGTCATTATGAAACAATCATCACTCCTATTAAGCTAAAGTGTGATTTTTTGTAATCTTACTCATAAATAAAACCAGGTGCCAAATTCTTGACAGAACAACTTCCTAACTAAATATTAACCGCGCATTAAGCTGCTGGATTTCGAAGAATTTAATATTATTTCCCAAGTTTTTTGTAAGAAAACTTAACCCTATTTCTGTAAGTTAACCACAGAAAAAATAAGGTTTTTCAAATAACTTAAAAATTTTGGGTAGCTATATGGAAAAAAAAGTTGTATGACAACATAACGCTTAAACTCAGATATAGAAAAACCATTTTTGACAGACTTACATCCTTTATCATGTAACAAGAGCATGTATTTGCGTTACATGTTTAACGTTTTTTATTGTCGAATTAAGCGGAATTAACATTTCTATGTTGTAAAAGAGTCAGGGTTCCTAAAACATTCCCCAAAACATATATTACTCATGAGCTTTAGTACAATTCCCACCCAACTCCTCCACAGGAGAGTGCAAGAAAAATTCAAATTTGGTATCTGGGGTTTTTCGCCAAGAAAATAATGAATCCGAAATTCGAAAAAAAATTCCAAATCTAATACTTCCCCATTCCAGAAAAAAGCCCTTATCATGATTGGTCATATCTCTAGAGCAGAGTGTCGGAGGTGGGTACTCACAAAGGGCAATTGGGACGTCTGAAAGGTACATATCCATTAGTGATGTCAAAATTTTAAGAGCAAATATCTTGAAAACGGTGTGTCGAGGGACAGTGTTCACAAAGGTGAAATTAATCGTATGATCATCACCAGCATCAACTGGTGATGTCAAAACTGAAATGCAAATATCTGCAAAACTGAGTGCCGGAAGAAGGTACCTACAAAGGGAAAATGCAATGTTGCGGAGAATTTTACTAAGGGCTTGATTCTTCTTGCATGAGTAGCAGTAGATTATTTATGTATGCCACGCGGTCTTTAAATGTTTACATGTAATATGCCTCCTATCCATTAATCGTCTACCAAGAAGCTAAACATCGACAAATACAGCAATTATAACCCAAATTTGCACCATCAAAAATGTTGTTAAAAAATATGGGGCATAACTACCTATAAAACGAAGAAATTCAAGCGCAAATGAATTATAATGATATTGAGACGTTCCACACTGTACCTATATTGGCAGTTAATGTAAGTGAAATTATAAATGAACAATTAAATGACTTGCCCAATGAGTTACATTATTACTACCTGTATTACTATTTCTGAGGTTTAGACTCGGGTTTAGGTTTAATAGAATTCTTGGCATTTTTAGGATTTACTGGGTATTTTTTGGCATTCTTTTGGAATTTTTACCAATTATGGCATTTAGTGTACACATATTCACTAATGAAACCCGCCTCACGTGTTCCAATTGAACAAGCCTCATAGTATTTTGTAATTGTAACAGATTGTAGTTGTTGTAATTTTAACAGATTTTCCCCAAGTTTTAAAAGCTTTATGTAATAAGTTGCTGAGAAAAAATCTTATTCAAATTTTGGGACATTTACGAACGTAGTTTCCAAACAGAATATTTTATTTGGAAAAATGTTGGTAAAATGGGTTGACGTTATTTGGGAGGACTGGCCCATGCTTTTAATACCTACTTTTCTGGCTTAAGGAAAGTAGGGTTACAAGCGATAAAACAGCATCACCTCTTGGAGCTAGATTTCGAGGATAACTTCAAGGATTAGCTTACACAACCCATCCCTCAACCCCGCCGTAAACAGGAAATGAAGGCAAAATGTTTATGATAATACTTTATTTTCTCAATTTCGGCAAAGATAAGACATAATAATATTATGTGCGTAACATGAGGCGTAAAGTAAACTATTATTTTAATGATCGATATTAATCTGTTATGTATTTCATGTGCAGGTTAGAATTAATTTAAAATTTTTCTGAAAACGCTATTCTGTGCATGCACCGCGATCCTTCTCAACAAGCAAGAACTAACATGTTTATCTCTCTTTCACATGTTGGGTTTTATTTGTGCTGTTTTGTTAGTGGGATGTACATAAAGCTTTACGATGATTCAGTATGATATTATAGGTGTTACTGACAGCTTGCGTCAATTCATTTTATTCTGTCACGTTAAGATAAATATGGAAGACTTTCTGATACTTTACAAAAAACTTTATTGTTTTCAGCAAAGGCTGGGAAACCTACCTTTAAAAAACTATATAAAACACAGTGTCAACAGAGCAGCACCTGGTCGATCTTAGACCCTGAAATGAAATCAAAACCACATCCGAAACAGTAACTGCTACGTTTATCTAAAATTAAGCAACCTAACAAATATACTACTTGTGTGATAAGAAAGAAAAAAAAGTAGAACAGTTGTATCAAATGAGTCACAGTATAGTAATTAAGTACGTCAATTTTAACTAACGTATGATAACGAGATGTTAATTAAAACGGAAGACATAACAATGATTAGGCGTTTTTGAGACAGTCTCCTTAGAAAAAAATAGCTGTCCGTCACATACTTACCGTAATCATTAGAGCAACTGGACCTCCGTAAATAACGAAGACAAAAAATGAGATCATAATAAAACTGAAAACTCCCCGTACGACCCAATTACGCCAGCGATCAGGTAAGTCTTTCACTAGGGATTCGAGTAGCGACGGTGCTTTATTGGTTCCTGTCGGTATAGTTGCGGACAAGTCCATCGACGGAGGCTGATCAAGTAGCTTGTCATCCTCGCTGTCGATCTAAGAGCAAAAATCTAAATTTATTTCTGTGCATTAATCCCACCAGACAAATCATTACTAATTGCATTAAAGGAAGCCTCTAGCCATGCAAGTAGTATTGACGTAATGCAATTACTAAGATTAACTTTAAATTATAGGAACACAAGGGCCTTACATGGTCACTCTCTAATTCTGCGTTTTTCTCATCACCTTCACCTTCGCGCCGTTTTCGTAACTCCGACATGATTGTAGCACTTTTGTCGACTGTGAATCTATTTCATAAACGCTCGGTTAGTTCATATTTGTAAACAATACAGAGTGTCAATACATAATTAAATAAATCAATAAATTGTCAAATGACTTGACTTCTGTAGGTTATGTGCGTCTGCTCATAAACCTGCCAATGTTTTTGTAATCAACGCACTCTTTTGCTTTCTTTTAAAGCTCCGCCAGCGTTGCCAAATTTTCGATTGGTAAAATTGATATACAGGGTGTGTTCACTGATCAATCTCCATTCATGGAATTGACATTTTAGTAAAGTTTTCTCACTTGAACTTTAGATTAATCGTTATTAGTGCAGTGAAAAATGCTTGGTAAATTTGAATAAGTCTAGGAAACTAAAAATAATTAAGGGGAACTTTATTGTCAATCTCTCTATAATTTACTTGATTATTAAATATTGCACTTCAAAATACTTAATTCAGGGCCGTCCAGAGATTCACCGGGACTCAGGCAACTTAAGTGCCCGGATCCCATGATGTCAGATTTAAAATATTATTCATAAGACTACCAGAATAAGTTTGTCTGTATACAGAATGAAATATTCCAAACAACGTTTTTTTAAGAAACTGAAATATTTCAACAATGCTGGTTTTTTAAATTGTTCAAATTTGTCCAGTTTTGTTTATGCGGTTGGTATATATTATTTACTGTAGTGCTTTACTGAAAAAATCGAAAGGTTTCTAGAACGGAAGTTGTTACTAATCACCGCTTTGGAAAATTATGAAAAACGTATCAACGATAAGCCCTGGTTTCGCTAATGGATCTTTTAAAACTGTTTATTCAATGCTCACAATTGGAACCGCCAAAATCAATTCTTTTTCGTACCTTTGTTACAAAAAAAATTTGCTATTTTTATCACCCGCACGTTAGTAAGAGGTGTTGCATTGGAGTAAAAAAATTACCCCCCACCTTATTTTGACGGAAATACACGTTTTTAACAAGTCTCTGATTGGAACCAAATTTGGTGCACATATTCTTAGACATAAAAGGAAGACTTGGAAAGCTTTTGGGCAGATCATTGTCTGAGATGCTATTTTCGGATATTAAAAAACATACAAATAAGTGGTAGGTCAATCAAGTCAAGCGTTAATTAATTATTAAAATAGGTGTCGATTTTGACTACATGACAGATGTTGCTATGTAAACCATGGGTTTAAGTCCCCCCCTCCCCCCCCCCTCCCCATCAACCTCCCAGGCCCCATCTACCCTAAGTAAGAAAATTAGATAGCAAATCCCTATCTATATTGTAATGCATCCTTGAAAAGCTTCTCAACAATTTCAAATCTCAAATCTCAATGATTTTACATGGTGTATCAATAATTACCAAATTAAATATTGAACAATTTTGAAATAACCCGCCTGCTTGTGCTTTACAAAAAATTTAAAGTTCAGTATACTTATACGGACACTTCGCATTGAAAATGAGGTGACTCTTGGATTTGGCATATTTAACATTAGCACAAGCAGGGTACATACTTGTTTTTAAAATTGTTAAATATTTAATTGGCAAATAATTATTGATACTGGACTCTGCATCATTATTTATACCTTTGGAGAGCATTTTTTTAGGTTTTTAATAATCACTTCTGGGATGCCGCTGTTTGTAGGTTTATCGAAACTGCTTTTACATTTGAAACTCATAGAAAGTATAATAAGAAAAATGAAACCAACGTGAATTGTACCTACCCTTAATTTTCGAACGTGGTTTCTCTCGCGGTTTCTACATATGCTACACAAATCTGTATGTCACGTTTTCATCCAATCAAACACCACGGTATACAATACTGGATAAGGTACAATTTGTATTTACTCCATTTAAATTCTAAAGGGATACAGGTATTCATTTGTATCTTATTTTACAAATCAAATTCATTTACTATGATATCGTCCGTTCGTCCTGTGGGTCGTAGAAAAACGTAATTTGAAAGGTTTGTCGTGTGGTGCCTACTTAACTTGTGATGAAGAAAACTATAGTTACATGCTCAACCAATCGATCAAAGCATATTATTGATTATAAAGGCTTTACATGTAATAAGTATTAATTATTTATCTGCGTACCTTTACGTGTAATATGATTAACACGTTACCATTGTTATGTATGTAAAGATATGGCCGCAGGAACTTCTTTACCAAAAACAACTTTTTTGTCAGAAAAATGGCCAGCTCATTGTTCATGAGAATCCAAATTAATTTTCAAATAATTACTCTATAATTTGAAGCTTGTAGTGTGGTTATTAAATAAACAATCCATGGCTATTGCAATAAATCCAGTTTAAGTGTATAATTACACAAGTACTTATAAAGAAAATAATGTCCTTACATGGTATTTATTTACATGTGAAGATTCACAAAAAAATTAGTCATAATTACAAGGGGTGATAAGTATATAATGAAATTCGTAGTCGGGAACATCAGTTCCCCTTAGACAACATGAAGAAGTTATTGCTTGTGTTTTTCATCGCTAGCATGACGTCGAGTCATGTGGAATGCGTTGTAAGTACTTTCCAAGTAAGTCTCTTGATATATGATTAATTGCCAGAACTTGTAGATGTCAGAAGCACAATTGAAATCCGCTGCAAAATTGCTAAGGAATGTATGCCAACCGAAAACAAAAATTTCTGCAGGTAAGTGTGTAGAACATAGCAATACTGTGTTTTGGTCTGCATTAAACATTTTAGCTCAACTTGCTACGCTACAAACGGGTGTTGTTAATCAGGATGAACCAGAAGTTATGGTAAGTAGCTGACAAAATTTTATTGTAATGTTATTGAACGATTTTTCTTGCCAGAGCTACATCGAGTGTATTTTAAGGACAGGACAAATCGTAAGTGAAGTTAGACAATGGAAATTGTTCTTTAATTTGTTCCATTGCAGATGAAAGATGCCAAACTTAATATTGATTCTCTTAAATCTCAAATGGCAAATTTACCGCCTACGATATCGGAACCGGGTATGATTACTGTAGAACATTGTAAAGATTCGCGTAAGTGCCATTAGTTTAACTTGGGGGTATTAACATTGGGTATTTGCAGCAAAGAGCAGTGACAAGTTTATAGCGGCAGCCGAATTTTACAAATGCTTCTACGATGATAATCCTGCTGTAAGGACACACCGACCTAAAGAGGATAAAGCAACTAATTATACTTTTTTTAGAATTTCTTCTTCCCCTAAGTTTGGAACCAGATTTTTAGGTGTTATAATACTTATAATGTCAATATCATCCATCCACAATTTTAATTAACTAATAAAGTTATATCTTGTACATAAAGTCTGCTTTACCTTGACCTTCTGCAGAATATGGTCCTTAGACTTTTTTGGGAACATTTGAAAATTCAGAAGTTATTAATACCGAAGCGCATCTCTTTATTGGCATATACGTAGGTACAATGAAAATTGCAAAAGAGCTTCAAACTGTGAACTATATATTTAGGTTAAAAGAACTTTGTGTCTGATGCCATATTTCTTGCACTTTTAAGTTTTAAAAAACTTCGTTTAAGTACCTATAAAGCACCCAAAAATGGCACTAAAGGTGATGAATATTATTCGAATGTGTGATTCATTTCACTTTTTTATTTTCATTAGATGATGATAACAACGTGAAAAAATTACAAGGGAAAGAGATACGTTTACATACCTATCTATAGAAATTTATCTGTATGTTTGTTTACAGTTTTAATAGTTATTTGTACAACTAGTTTTGAAAGGGATAATTTCATTAAAAAAAGACACCTTCAAAATGTGTTGTACACGAAATTTTTTTGTATAGTGATCCTTAATAACCCATCATTGTCATAATTGAATATCATTGACATTCACGATTTACTGTCACTCAAAAATTGAGCTACATTGTTCATAGACAGGACTAAACGCCATAAAAACGCATAGTAAAAATCTCGATAATTTGATATACGAATTTTTTCGTAGTGTTATAATGATTAAATTTAAGGGTTCAATTGTATCTAAGTACCGATTTTGGCCTTGGTTAATGTAATTATACATATTGAAAGTAACTACTATACTTACTGATATTTAAATTATAGGTACCTACGCGATAATTGAATAGTAATTTGTTGCCTATTCCAGGTACAAATTACATTACAATGTATAAAAGTGCTCTAAAATTACAGACCTATATACGGACGTAATTTTTGTATGTTCATGTAGGCAATGGTCACTAAATACTTTAAAATAATTAATGATACGTGGTTCGCCTAATGTATAAATAGCGATGTGATGTCACTTCTAACATTTTAAAACGAAACAAACTTTAAAAAAAATTGTAAAGAATTCCGTTTTCAATAAAAAGTTCAGGATATCATGCAAATCTCCTATGTTCGAGTATCGTCCGCATTGTAACGGAGTTACTTATTTACCGCCTTAAAGCTACCGGCGTTAAGGAAAACCAGGTATAATTAGATTAACGAATATTGGAATTGGTATGCGGTCAATTGAGTAAGCATAATTAACGATTGACACTTAAATGAGTTGCCGAAACCCGTCCGATTTAGATGGACCTTATCTCAAAACAAGCGCAGTTGATGATTTACTTGAATTTTGCCACCGGTGCGGTATTCTTAACACGTCTGTGAAGGACGTAATTAATTAAAAACAGATCTCGAGGGGACGGAGCGGGATTCCAGTTTCGCTCTATTTGAAATTGCCAATTTTTGTAAAAAATAAAGCCGCTGTTTAAAGGTGATCTTTTTGCATTTGGTTTTTAACCGAATAGCGAATAGTAAGTTTATCTTTTGGCTTTTGCATCCTCCCCAATTACGTTGTGATGTAGGTAAGTACCGAAATTTTGAGCTTTGCCATAAATTTACTTTTGCAACTGTACCGTATTTAAATCTTAATCTTTTGCCTTTGGTGTTTTTACCGTATTATATCTGTTGCCTTTTTACACTTTCCCCAATTGTACACTTGTTTGCATCCCTACCGTTTCATTTTGCGTTGCAATTAAGTTAACGCATTGTATTTATTGGAATTAGAATTCCAGGGACCTCGGATCTCCATTCGAGTTACCTCCAGGAGTTCCAGCACCCGTATATCACCGCACCACCGTTCCGAAACCTGAGCAGAAGCAGGTTTCCGTACCTTCTATAGGTCCGTCCCGTCGACGGAACACCCACATAACAGCCGACAGTCACTACGTTCGTCCGCCCCCATGATTGACCTGTATTTTGTAAATTTATTTAGTTTTTAATTTTAAAGCTCACCGATTGTGTGCGAACTACCCCAAGTTCGTCGCAAATTGATTATTGAACTTATCAACTAACACGACAAGTTCTTTTTCTGGTGTAGTGCTCATTAACCATGAAATTTTTACAATACCTACCTAGTCTATACCATCATTGAATAATAAATCTGATTCAATGATACCATACAATAAAGTTATGACACCTTTCATAAACAATGACTTTTTGGGAGATACTGAATGCGCTAAAGTAACTCGTCCCAAATGTTTCGTTGACACTGGGACATAAAAAAATCTTCTTAATTCTTTTATTATAAGCTTTAACATCAATTTTACACAAAGATTTGGAACAATTGAGGGGCGGTTCCGACCAACACCCTACAAAAAAATGTTTTTGGTGTATTTTAACTTCACGAGTGTATCCGGTACTAATTACATTTACCAAATTTTATAAATTGGCATGCGCCTATTATTTACCAAATTTTTAAACGTGGACAAGATAAATCTATGCTACTACGTTTACATTAAAAAATAGCTCACTTGTCTCTGTTGAACACCACTCTTTTTGAGATGTAAAAAAAAGAAAAATCATCTTTTCGCGTTACTACTCAACTGTACAAAACGTTACTTAATACATACACGAAATAGTCCTTCGAATGGCCTCGAACTAAGAGTGCCATTTAGGCCTAAAAAATCAAACAGTATTTCTACCATAAAGTACCTAGGTATATTTTATTTATATAACATTAGAAAATTGCTACTCTTAGCCTGAATCATATATTTAATATTGTGTACAATAATATGGTGATACATACCAATTTATTTATATCATTGCATGATATTGACATCGAAACGTACCTACCTACTTATTTCTAGAGTGATGTTTATGGGAATGCGAAGTTCTAAAAAATGGAATTAGTTGTTTTATTATGTGTAATTTGTTACCTCAGGGTTGTCATCATAGAAGCATTTGTACAACTCGGCTGCGGCTATATATTTATCACTGCTTTTTGCTGTAATTGATTACATAGGACCTTAGGCAGATTTACCCACACTTACCCGCATCTTTACAATTTTCTATAGTGATCATGCCCGGTTCTGATATGTGAGAAGGTAAATTTGCGATTTGAGTTTTGGCGGACTGCACATTGAACTGGCCATCTTTCATCTGTAACTCAAACTACTTACAAACTTTGGATAAAAATAAGTCCTGCACCTACAATCCGTGAAGTTCTCAAAACACACTCAATATAGCTCTGGAAAAAAGTTTGAATAGTAATAGGAACTTAGTAATATCTTGGTAGTTACCAAAACTTCTGGTTCGTCGGAAATTTGGCCGACTTGTAAATTACTCAGTTGCTCTAAAACAGTGAATGTTTCAAAACTCAGCAACCCTTGGTGATACTTATACCTGCAGAAATTTTGGCTTTTGGTTGGCATACGTTCCGTAGCATTTTCGCAGCAGATTGCATTTGTGCTTCTGTCATCTGCATAAAAACTGATAACTGTGGATTATCATCGAGCTACATTTACTTACAACACAATATACGTGATGACATGATGCGATTAACACAGTTATGAAAAATAATAGCTTCATGTTGTCTAAGAGGACCAACAGACATCCTGTGTTTCGAACGTTATTTCATTATATACCTACCATTTGAATTATTGTTGTCTTTTCGCGACATATGTGTACGTAGATAATTATACAAATATAGTTACACTATTTCCTCTACAAATGTTCAGTTTCACTACGTTAATACTTATTCATTATATGCAGCTGTTGAATTATATTAATAATTGTACGGTTCACTTTCAGCATTAGCTGTATTAGATCTAAAGAAAGGAAGAATTTGGGTACCCCGTACCCAAATAGTTGGCTTCGTAGTATTGTACTTGCACCTATGGGTATAATATACCAATGTGGCGTGTAATTGTAAGTTATTAACAAACCTAAAAAGGGCCAAAAAGGAACTAACTTGTTTTACTTCGCTTATACCTACATATTTTATCAAAACTTAAGAAATGGTTTTTTACATTACTATTTCGACCTATACCAGAGCACCTTCTAAAGATAATTATCACTGGAAGGCCAATGGCCAACACTTTTTTTTCCATATGAGATTAAATATAATCAACTGGGCGTTGTTCGCTGATGCTGACAACCTTGCTGTTGAAATGCGTTCGATATTTTAATTTTGTGGTTTATTGGTGGTTTTGTTTTACTTTTTTATACCTATAGGTAATTCACTTGCACGTGTCAGTGCCGGCCGGTTACCTATACGGTGACGTGACGGTGTCCGGTAGGTACTGTATAGCATGAATCGCGCCTAAAGGCAGGTCCTCCTTGCCACTGACTGCGTGTGTGTTTTAATTTCGAGTGTCCGAAACGTAGTTGAGGGCAACAAGCACCCGAGGGATTAGGACGCACTTTAGTCCTATAGCCTGCGGTATATACGCTTGCTTTATAAAAAATTTGCTGCGGCTAGCTCAGATACCACCCGCACACCTGCGCATGCACGATTCTGGCTTTTTATGTCTAACAATATGTGTACCAACTTTGGTCCCAATCGCTTCAGCCGTTTAGCCAGAAATATGAGTTTGACACACTTGCGCATGCGAGATTCGGCCCAAAACCTTTTCAGCTCTTCCTTTTATGTCTAAGAATATGTAGGTACCTATACGAAATTTGGTTCTAATCGGTTCAGCCGTTTATCCGGAAATAAGAGTACAGACGGGCCGACATTATCGAGATTTTGTTTAATTCGGATTTCTGGTGCTTCAAAGCATGTATTTCCTTCAAATAAAAGTGGGGGGTCACTTTTTACCCCAATGCAATACCTCCTTTACTGACGTGCGGGTGGTAAAAAGCATCACTTTCAACATTTCGTGTACAACACATTGTGGAAGTGTCTTTTTTTCATGAATCTCGGGTTTCGCCCTCCAAACTGCACCTTCATAAAAGAAGTATCACTTTCAAAACTGTTCGAACAAATAACTATTGTCTGACACTGCCAATACCAACGTATGCTTTTTTATACGCTGCCACCCAATACCAAACGCACAGACGTCTAAAATATCAAAAGAGCGAGTACGGGCTCAAGCCCACCTATAACAATGGGGTAATTTTTCTTCCGATTTAAAAACAATTATTTTGTCGTTATTCTCACGTTTGAAGAAAAATAGTATAAGTACAGTAATGATTATTAAGAAGTGGGCATAGGAGGAATTTACGTGTATTGCTTTTCCCTATATCTATTAACTGTTCGCCCAACAGACGCAGTTAAGCTCCTCCCAAAAAATTCCCGGCAAATTTAAATGAACGCTTTTAATTGGCCGAATTTTAAAAACCTGTAACACACGTACGCAACTACCTATTTGCTTCCAATTATAATTGGCCGTATCTAAATTGACATCACAGAATACGGCATTGACATCCTTAACGTCAAACCTGTCATTGCGTATTTGCCTTTCCTCAATTTGCCGTTAATTTCATTTATACGAACAAACTAATCTTTTTGAACTTGATAAACAATTTGAAACTATGTACTGCTGTGTGTTTAAAGGTCAATATTCAAAACATAACACTTTATAACTTATATTAGTCATACAATTTGACATGCGATTTTAAATTTCCACGTTTTTATAATTTTGTGACTGATGTGAAACGGGTCTGTTATTACATTGGCCAAAATTTATTGGGAGTGGCTTAACTGCATCTGTTGGGTGAACAGAATATAGTTTTAAAAGAAACAACTGTTCTGAAGGACGGCTAATTTTATGCAAGACAATGCAACCAAAATAACTTATTAAAACAAATGAAGATCTGGCTGTCATATCAATTAATTTAAATATTGTTGCTTTCGCTTTGGTATTTTTATTTTCGTTTTGTGCAATCTATTCAACTGAAAAAAAAGTTGATATTGTCAATTGGTATAGTGCCGGTCTATCTGGATCCTACAGAAATGACTTATAATTTAATACAAAATTTGGCGCCGCCAAGTCAACATTTGAAAACAGCGCTATAGAGCGGTAAAAATGTAAAATAAAGGAAATCAGGCAATATCCGCAATATCCAGTTACAATTCTGTAAATTAAGCAACAGTGATCAATAGGGAAAACTGTTTATTTTTGCTTATCATCTACGAGCGTAATCAAGCTTGAAATACTAAAAAATGGAAATAATAATCCCTTGATCCCTCAGAAATTCTCGACACATTTGGCAACAGTGCGTGCGGCATTCCTTGTGAAGGTCATCCCGAAAACCGACCGTCTATTTTGTTTGTGCGGTGCGGGGCGCGGGTTTGGTTTGTGGCTGCGATAAAAAATGATATTAGTTCTTCCAATTATTTATTTTTATTAAATCGTTATTAGCAATAACTAAATAATTAATCATGTCGCAGTCAAGTGAAGTAGTACCTGTACAATTGTTTTACTTTTGTTTTAATTTTCGGTGCGTTTGTGTTTAGATTTAATTTTCAGAAAAGTAAGAGGTTATCTAATAATTTCTTTAATTACCTAAAGTAATTTATTTTCAGTACAAATTATGGCTTACGTTAACGTGAAGGATTGGTCTGTGGAGCAAGTTACGGAATGGTTGAAAGGTAATTATCCGGTTGATTATAAATAACAAAAGGAAGTGTAGGCCTAAGTGCTTTCTTATCACGGAAATAGCATATCTTTAAAACTGATTTGTGAGAGATGGTGGTTTGGCCAATGATCCGTAACTATTTAATTGCGCTGTGACTTGATCGTAAATACTTAAATGAAATCCACACCCAATCGCAACTAATGCTTCATGTTACAAGGATTATGATTCATATTTGCGATCGATTTGTAATAATAGATTCTCAAATAATATTGTCTGGTTGTTAGTCACAAGGAAATGTAATGTGGTCATGGTTTATTCAAAGATGGCCCAATCAAATGCAGATAATTTTTGCACAACACTTCCTGTTGTTCTTTGATTTGGTGCTTGTGACTAAGAATTAATTAATTTTAAAAAAAACTTAAAAATAAACCAGTACACTTCAATAACTTAGCGCCTAGCTTAAGACATTCCTCAAGGCAACTTATTGGGTCCACTTCTAGTGTGTAGTAATAACATACACAACACAATTCCTGTGGTGGGTACTTTAAGCTGATGATATAGGTAGTAGGTCCCTTTTATAGAGCACTGTAGTTGAAGTATTTTTTGACAATTGAACCGCCACACACACTTATTTTTAGCCATAAGAAACAACTGTTAATATTATTAGTTTCTGTGCAACCGGCCAGACATCCTGTTTTTGCACTTTTTCTAGGATTGGAAAACTTGTTTTTTAGATTAAGTAATCGATTTTTCATAAAATTATTATTGGGGGTATGATAATTGTAGTTGCTATACCTAAGTGCATACTTGCATGTACAGGGTGTCCCATTTGCGACACTTTTATAGGGTATCTCCGTAATTGTTAGTGCTATCAAAAAAGTAATATAGCCTCAAGCTTAAAATAAAAATCCAAAAATATTGGCTCACTTAAGAGATACTGCCAAGACTGTGACTAAAAAAAGGCATATTAGTTTATAGTTTCTATTTGAAAGTGTTTTTATCAGGGATTTCGTGTACAGGACTGGATAGTGTGATTGTGTCAAGTTTTGAATGGCTCTTAGTTGAAACATATACAGAAACATGTTTCTTTATTTTCAAAATAAGTATTTTTTTAATGAAACACCCTGTATATTTTAATCTAATAAAATGGCATATTAGGTCGCATATTAGTGTCTTTTTCCAAAAGCATAACACTAAACAATTTAACAATCTTTTCACAATTTTTATGTATTTTTTATTGGTGTGTGTTTCTTGGAGAGTTGGTACATCAATATTTTTACTAGAACCAAATTTAGACAAAAACTCACATTTATTCTTGGATATGCCTTCAACATTAAGTTGTACAACCTTCAAGGGCTGATTAATAATTATTGTTGAAAGGGAGGTGCACAGCTTGAGTCAGGTGATCCAGTGGACGGACTGACTGTTTTTTGATGTTTTCTGGCCATTTATTTAATATCAGGGGAACATGTGTAGTAAAATACGGACGCGGACAGAGTTATTCCCACAAAGAAAATGGATAAAAAAGCAAAGAGTAAACAGTATAATTGACAGTTTTGACAAATTTTCAAAACACTTAATTTAATTTTTTTTTAAAGTATTTTAATATCCCTATCGAGATTCCTATAGGCTATATTTGTGCATTGCAATGTAAAATATTTTTTGAGTCATTTTTTTAAACCTTTTTTAATTTTTTGTAATACTTATCATCCCTGGTGTGCTATATTTTTGAAAAGATAATTTAATATCCTATACTTTTAGATTAAAATGCATAGGGCGTTATAGAAATGAGGTTAGGTCCGATCACTTTTTACCATGAGAATTTACAGAGTAAGTAACTGCTTCCTTCTGAGCAGGCGTCCTATAGGTTCCCCTTCCTCTCAATATGATGAAATGTTAACTCAGTTTAGTCACAATTTAACGTGTGTTACAATGATCTAGTGTTGGGCCGTTCGGATTCAATTCTTTGGTACGAAAACATTTTTCTTTCCAAAAATGCGTACCCAATTCAGCGGAGATAGACATTATGCATTATATTTACTTAACAGGTCAAGTAACAGCTGTTTCGTTTTATTGATTTATATTTTTGATTTATAATAAATTTATTTGAAGAAGATAAATTCAGGGTGGTGAAAATTCGTGGCTCACTATTGGGATCTCTGTAACAGTGTGGGTTAAACGGGGGCAAAGTTACCGTTTTTTGTAACAAAAAAAATGAAAAATTGAGAAATCTTTGAAAGTAGCTAACTGAGATATCACCAAAAACTGAAAATGAAAAATTTAATTTTCCTTAGCTTAAACGGTCGGAAATGGACGGTTCTCATTGGCACTTTCTATGGGCCCTTTTTTTTGGAGAATTTGAATCTGTTATCAGAATTTCCATAGCATTTTTACATAAATTTACAAGAAAAATTTCAAAATGAAATGTTAAGAAATAAGAAAGTAATAGCATGTATGTTTGAAAGGATTTTAATCCGGGATTTCATGTACAGGACTGGATAGTGTGATCGCTCCGTACACAAAATCGTTTGTGAACAATGAAGTGAAAGGCAATCAGTTACTGAGCCTGAGATCCGATGATTTGGAACACCTGGGCGTGTACACAATTGGACATCAGGAGATCATACTGGAAGCGGTAGAACATTTGAGAAATTTTGTAAGCTGTGAATAACATAATGGACAAGTTTAATGTGGGTGCACTATTTTTAGCATTATAAGCTGGACAAGGAAAATTTACAGATGCTAGCCCTCCGATTATCATGCGCCGCAAACTCACTGTATAATGAATTAGCACTTACCGATGAGGATTGTACTATGGTTCCTACACAAACTATGTCTGATGTTCACAATGTGATTACAGCTATCAAACCACTAGTATGCTGGCTTGACAGGTATCTTCAAATTTTTCAAGTCATTGGACACAGTCCTCTTTGCATTTCATGATCTGATACTCTCTGGTACTAGGTGTTCCTAAATGTATGTGCGGATTTTGTTATACACTCTTGTTTTACTTATTGTTGATTGCAAACTTGAAATTTGAATAGACAACGATTATATTTAGTCCACTAACATTCTAGGTCACCATTTCGTGGTAATAAGGATTATGTCGACTGTAAAATTCAGTTGTTGCAATTAAGTTTTGAAATGGCCACACACGCGCATCGTGACATTTTTTCCGAAAAACCTCTTCGTACCATCCGAGACATTTCGAAAACTTTAGTACAGCTTGCCGACCACATTATCCAAGTAAGTTTGTCTTTTACCCGCACTGTGTCATTCACGATATAAACCTTTAGGAAATGTCCGATCCAATGATTCTACAACCAGCATCTCTAGCGTTAGCCACACTAAAGAAAAAAGAACAGGAATTGGGTTTTTTCTTGCTACCGAGTCATTATGCGGTCCATCAAATTGCGGAAATCAAGTACGGTTCACCTGCTCACAATAGCAGTAAGATACAGGAGGGTGACGAAATTGTTCAGGTTTGTATTTACTGGTAAAGAGTTTTTTAAGGTTAAGGCTAAAATAAATTTAGGTGAATTATCAAACGGTCGTCGGTTGGCAAAGAAAAAATGTTTTGTTGTTACTACAAGAGTCTCCGCCCGAAATTGTGCTTACGTTGAAAAAGCGACCAAGGCATACGAAAATTTACGGTCAGATCTATATGAAACCCTATCGTTTACCAAGTAAAAAAAGAGCCACTCCATATTCGCGTTGGAATGATAATTTACCATCACCACAATTACTGGCAATTCACGATCTTCCCGATATTCCTCCCCCCAGGTACCTCTTTTTGAGTTTATCCATTCTGGTGTTAAATGAATTTTGTCATTAGGTTACCTCCAGTTGTGCAACAGTCTGAAACGGAAACTGAAATTAGTAGCAGTAGTGATAGTGAAACTTTAGATAGCCCGCTCGACGGTAGTAGAAGGGTGTATCCCTTAAAGCCAAGGCCAGTTTTGCAAAGGAGAAATACTGTGACAGGTGCCAGTCCTACAAGCAAGAGACCACAGCAGGCTATTGAACAGGTTCGCTTAAAATTTAATATTAAATGTACCGGGTGACCCAATAAGACTGTTCCTCGGCCATATCTCGAGAACCGTTCTTCATATGACTTAGGAGTAAAAAAAATTATTGGGTGAATCGGTCATGAAGAATCGCTGGAAAATATTTTTAAGTTCTAAAAATGACCAAGAGAGGGCGAAACTGCCATCTTAAATTTTAAAATTGCATTTTCTTTAAATTTCGCATAATAAACTAAAAAAATTTTTTTCACATTTTTAAAGAAAACCAGTTTATCTATCATTTTCGTAAAAACAAAAACTCAGTTATTTCAAAAACAAAGATGGTGTGGGGCGTTCAATTGTTTTTGCAATATCCTGCTTTAACTTCTTACGCATTCAGAAAGTGCAGTTTTTTGAATTTGTAATCTTTTCTAAAATGCCGATTTCTAACCAAGAAGCATTTAATATGCTGGCGATATATTTTGAGTGTTTTCAAAATGCGACCATCGCTGCCCGCATCCTCTATTTGCGTTATCAGAATTGACCACGAATCATCACCGCCACCATATTAAATGCTTCTTGTTTAGAAATTGGCATTTTAGAAAAGATTACAAATTCAAAAAACTGCACTTTCTGAATGCGTAAACACAGCAGAATAATTTACAAATTACGGCTGTTATTATTTTATAATGCATCATGTTTCATTTGTTTAATTTTCCAAAGACTACCTAAAAGTGTAGGGTGCTTTTCTTTCGCGCCATCGACAAATACCGGAAATACGTAAAAGGTAAATTGAAGATACAATTTAAGCATTTTTATTAATTAAATTAATCTCAATTTCCCAATATTTGAGGTTAGGAACGAGATTTTGAAAAACGGTTTTCAGTGGCCTCTAGGGGTGTTATTTGGCTAATTTTTCATAAAGAAAAAGTCATATCATTTGATTTTTTTTAGGATTTTGGATCATAGTGTCAAAACTAGCCCCCTGGCGGAGAAGGATTCAACTAAATTAACTATATTTGATTCTTATTGCCCAAGGAATGCTCTTTTCAACCATACCAAATTTGTTACAATCGGTCAAACGGTTAAGAAGTTAAAGCAGGTTATTGCAAAAACAATTGACCGCCACACCATCTTTGTTTTTGAAATAACTGAGTTTTTGTTTTTACGAAAATGATAGATAAACTGGTTCTCTTTAAAAATGGGAAAACAATTTTTTTGGTTTATTATGCGAAATTTATAGAGAATGCAATTTTAAAATTTAAGATGGCAGTTACGCCCTCTGTTGGTCAGAACTTGAAAATATTTTCCAGCGATTCTTCATGACCGATTTACCCAATAATTTTTTTTACCCCTAAGTCATACGAGGAACGGTTCCCGAGATATGGCCGAGGAACAGTCTTATTGGGTCACCCGGTACAAGGTCTTTATAACAAGTTGGATTGGTGTGTATCTGGGATCATTTCTAGCTTTGTCTCAAAATGTTTTTTTTATATCTCTTGTTATTTTTATAACGTGTCTGAATAATGTACGAATAGCACGTGTGGAGTGCAACGCAGCAGAGTTCGCTCAAATCGTACATTCAGAGGTGCGGAAAAACGTGCTCATTTAAATGTTTATAATTCATAAACAGTTGAAGATAAGTATACGCCTCCGTGAAGTTTTTTTAATAGGAAATTCAGTCCTCTACAATTTATCTTTTGTACATTTTTCGTAACTATTTCTGTTTTGGATAAGTGCACGCGATCGTGATTTTGGTAAGAAAACTATAAAACTACTAGTGGAAGTGATTGAGCATGTCGTTTCGCTTCTCGCTTACATTGCATCGACTATAAACTGGTGTGCTTACACTAAAGATAGGGAGTTCATACACCTCTTATTACTTTCCCCTCTGGTTTTGTGTTTAATTAATTACATATAATACACACAAATAAGAGGCAAACAACAACTACTAGTAGAAAGGTAAGATCACCAAGAGTACAAAAATATGTATCCGTAAACTGTTCCCTATACTTTGACCCCCTCCCCCACCCCTCTAACAAATATTAGATTGTCCAAAAATACGTTTAATGCAAAAGTTGTTGTCTGGTCTAAGCACAAATTTTCAAACTTGGTACGATTATTTATACAGGGTGTCCCAAAAGCGGTTCACAACGCCCAATTTTAAAATGTTAAATGAGACACCCTGTATTTTATTCAATTTTTAGATTTTATGTTAAATTCTAAGATAAATCAAATTCAACAAATATATCATGCTCCCACACACAACAAACGTTAATCCTTGAATCATCGCACACGCTGATAACAAACCTCGTATTTGAATTTAAAAGTACTGCGAATTGTTAAAATATAAAACACAGGTGGGAAGTTCCATAGCACCCTAACTACGTACAAAAATCCTACTACAACTATATCGATCTTGTTTTACAGATTCCTACCTAAGTTTGTTATAGAGAACCTTGTGTAATATATTATACACAGTATCTATACAATATTAAGGACGCTCACTTCTAATATATTTCTTCTGAGCATACTTCTTTATCGCGTCCCCATAACTAAACAATTCACACTTATTTGCAGTACTGGCAGCAACTAAAAAATCAAGCTGCGTCAAGACATTCTAGCTCATACACAATTCCCAGTAACAAGTACGACGATGATTCCACACTACTTCGAGACAAAAGTGTGTCTTGTGGAGATGGTTTTGACCTCTCTCCACGTCCAACCACAGTCATAGGGATAGCAGGTAATCACTGTGGAGTAAACGGTGACTTTAGGAAGCAATTTAACGGGAAGTCATTTAAAAAGAAAAAAGTGAATTTTGACGACAATATGCCGAACAGCAAAATAGATAACGCCAACACTCGCCGAAAGTTAAGTGATGAAAGAAGCGTCAGCGTTACCTCGTTAACTAGCTTGAATGAAAATTTGGACTTCATCGATGAAGGGGAGGACATTACTGATAGAAGCAACATGCGCGCGGAATGGCAAAAACAAATTGTCGAGGAGATTATTGACACCATCAATGTCGACGTTCAAGTTCCTGGAGAAGACACAGCAAAGGATGATACCTTTGCAGAAGTACACGTTCACAATATAATTAAAAAGTTTGATGAACAAAGCGTTGCAAATATGTGGGATCCAAAGACTAAACCGAAAGTATTTCCTAAGAATGTGATTGAGAAGCCACCAGAATTGCCTCAAAAACCGGACCTGTCACGAAAACCGGCTGTTCCGCCGAAGAATATAAAAATTAGAGGTGAGCTACAACTGAATGAGTTGTTTAGTTACAATTTTCCTTTCAGGTCATTTAAGTAAGTGCAACAGCACCCCTGCATATGACCAGTCGGAGCCGCAAAGCACTGCAAGTTCCGAAGTAGTTTCCCCTAAGCCATCAAGTCAATTAGATTTGGATACAGTGAGTAAACCGATTACATACGAACTAGGTATACCATTTGTCGAAGATATCGACGCCGCCTTTTATAATAAAAAGTACCCCTCAAAGCCGCAATTCGAAAACGGAGGTGATGGATTAGTACAGATAAAAGATTATCAATACATACCTCCGAAACCCCCACCTAGAGCAAATATTACATCCGATTTAGGTAAGAATTCCGATCGTACCTCGGAATTAAAGGCTTCCACAAAGCGTTTGGGATCCCTCGAAAATCTAGATGCGATTCCTTTCGAACCAAAAAACATTTCCACTCCCAACACGAAGGGGTACAAAATGGAATTTCCCGAAGTTGATGTGTCGTACTCGAAAAGTTCGTCCAACTTGGAATCACTAAAGATGGCGTCTGATACGAAGATATCACCCACTAATTCCATAGTTCGTGCCATGATGTATTCTAGTAAAAGTAAAAGCGGCAAGAAGAAGAATTCTATTGTGGCAAGTAAGTACTTTTCACTATGGGGATTTACGATAATTCAACCGGTTTAACCGGGTTGGTAGAAATCACCATAGAAACAATTGTCTCAATAATTGTAACCATAGCAAAATCTACCAACCCGGTTAAACCGGTTGAATTATCGTAAATCCCCTATAGATTCAGATATGGAGATTCGTGTCAGTGACGTTTATTGACAGGACTGTCACGCTATTAACACAGTGACAGCCCTTCTATTCTGTGTGTAAGTTTGACTTGTTCCTATACATTTTATAATTGTCGTAAGGAAATACATAAATTATTAAAAAAAAAAATTATAAATGTCAAATGCAACAGTAACACAAGTGACGCTATAGGTGAACAGAAGTCGACCAACTTTTTACGCTCGTGCACTTCCTTTTATACCATGTTTCTATGGGTCGATTCCTTTACAAATATTAAAATTATGCTTCTGGTAACTTTTGATCTTATTTGCTTCAAAAAATGCTATCTCCCTTAGAAATATGGAAACAGATCACTTTGATAGTTCATACGTATTGCAAAGATCGTGATTATGCACTGAAATAAAATGCCAATGTTACGCTGTGTCTTAATTTTGCCCAATTTATTCACCAGGTTTTGTTGATTAATTGTGTTTTTACCTGCCTATGTCAGTATATACGAAATTTTTATTTATGGCACGAGGCGCTGTCCAATGATATTTGGCGATCCGAACGGAAAAGGAAATTATTTGTTGATCACAATGAGTACCAAGCTCAGTTTATTTAAAATGAAAAACGGGTCACCGACTCGAAAATGTTCTTTCGCGTAACACTTTTCTCTCGCCCCGTGATTCACTGCAATCCGTCTATTCGCACCCGTATAAAGCACAGGATTAATATGTGTTTTGTGTTAATCTTTACAGCGACGTACAAACAATGTACGCATATCACTCGCGAATTAGTTTTCGAATCTCTCGCTCTCTCACTTCTTTCGCTATTTCAATCTCGCCAACCAATAGGAAACCCGTGTTTTCGTCACGTGCTCTGTTTTAACAAAACGAAACGAAACTTTTAGGTCCCAAGAGATTATGGTATCCGCGCTCGCTTTCCCCAATACGTTATCGCCTTTTATTTCCTGATATACTTTTTGTTCATGTTCGCTGAGAAGCGGTATATGTGTAAATTTTCCTATATTATTGAATAAAACACGAAAAATAACATTCTAAAACGACCTCCTGTTACAGAATGTCCAAAGACAAAAGACTTTATGAGTTATTTACGAACTTTAATATCCTTTTAGAGACACTAGAGTCTTCAAGAGCTTTCCATTTTTTGGGGTTGTAAATCATTCTTTCTGTTTTTTTAAGAGGTTGAAACAGAGGGATCCGTTCATTTGGATGTTTTCCTACCTTTTCTGTGTTCGGTGAATTCCCTTTACATGCTCCCTTGTTAATTGAGCCCGAAATCCATCACAAGGAAGAGCATTTCGGGAGGACTGAAAGCACAGTCAATCATGTTATCCTTTCCAGGAAGAAGAAAAGTGGCCGTTAAAGACGTGGCACCTGGAGAAATACAAGGCTATTTATATCAACGTTTAAGGTCTAAGCAAAGTCAGTCAGTTCAATGGGAGAAGAGATGGTTTGTTTTGAATGGGAGCTGCCTGTATGGATTTCTATCGAAGGAATCTGTTAAAGCAAAATGTTTAATATTCTTGTCCGGTTTTACGGCTTCAATTGCGACTGAGGTATCTAACCTAACCCTCTTTGCCTTATTCATATGTTAAATTTAAGGTAAAGTCCAGATCCAACGCTTTTAAGGTCTACCACACGGGAACGGTCTTCTATTTTTCAGCAGATAACCCTGAAACTCTGTCTTCTTGGATTGAGCTAATAACAGCCGGAACACTTCTGTATGACAATGTCAAGTCGAATGATTCAATCCTGTTTTCAGAGTCTGACGATTCTGACTCTGAGAAAAGCAAAGGTTCAGGTGATCGATCAAATGAGTCCCTGAAAAAATTTGGCTCATTAAAAAAGACTGCATCTGGCAAAAGTGGAACGACAGCTCCGAGCGGTAGTTCTAGCCTAGACAGAAAGTGGTTCTTCAATAAAACGAACAGTATTTATAAGAATTCTGTACCGGTGCCTACAGCACAATTTAGGTCTTATAGGAAGATTCCTTCCGCCAGTATTAGTACAGTAAGCAGCATTTCGACAGGAAATTTTACCTCTCACATACCAGATTTTTCACCTCGTTTCGAAATGCAGGGAACCTCATCGGTTCAAAGCAGTAGTACAAACAATCTCGCCACAGATTTGCCGAAAATTGTTGAACCAGAAGTGGCGGAGAAAGTGAAACCTAAGCAGAAGCCAATTAATTACGTGCACGCCAGTAATCCAAATCTATGCGATATCAGCGATTTTCATTTGAGAAATTTTCAAAAAATCCAACCATTTCAACATGGTAATGATAATTTGGCTGGGTTTGTCACATTGGAAGAGCTAATGAATCGTCAGACCGAAGAACAGAAGCTGAACCCCCATGCCTTTAAAGATGAGGTTGTGAATCCTAGTTCGATTTATGCAGATGTGGTATATGGTGAGCTTCCTATTCGTCCAAGTAAAGACACTGAACCTCGAGAACGTGCCACACGAAGAGTGTCACATAGCAGAACCGCCTCAGATTGTTCGGAACGTATTCTCTCGAGCAATACAAATAATAAATCGCCTCAAGATTCCTCGAGTTTCTGTTTTGGTAAGCGTGGATCGTTGAAGAAACAAAAGAATGATGGTGACATGTACGGTATATGCACATATCCCAAATCGAAAATGGTCGAAGAGAAGCCGAATCAATCTTTACCAAGGACGCATAAGGTGCAAGAGGGGATGGAAGTGGAGGATTCCATGTGTAAGTCTAAAAAACAAAGTAGAAGGAATAGTAGCGACCAAAAGTCCTTCATAAGTAGAGAGTACTCAGTGTCTTATGTTGATTTAAAAGACAAATCGAACGAGATGGTCTATTGCCCGCAAACTTCAACAGATGTGCATTTTGCGCAAAATCGTACCTTGGATGGCAAGTGTAAATCAAACAAAATCATCAGACAGCACAGTTTGACATCGATGGATAAAAAACGAGGTAAAATGAACGCTTCAGGAGAGAAGATGTGGATCGACTCGTTGCGGAAAAATGATAAGGTCTGTGATAAAAGTAGTGTGAGTGTGAAATTAAAGTCGGCAATGCAGTACACGCCAATGTCTCTGCCACTAACGCCCAATGATAAAGGAAAGATGAATCCTAAGTTTGCCTTCGAGTTAAATTTGGACGAGAAGGTTACAAAAACCGGAAAATTTCGTAGTTTTTTCGGAAAGCAATCCGAAAATAAAAAGGAAAAGTGTTTCATGGGTTCGCCGAAATTTGCCAGGTCTTCCTTAGAAAAAGGTAAACACACCGAACCCGCAACTTTAGGTTGGCCTCCGGATCCTAATCAGGTAGGCACTATGTGATAGCTTCCACAATTCTGATGATGTATTTGCAGTGTCAGCCTCAATATTTATTACACAATTACTATTATATTGAAGAATCGCCATCTTCAAAAAACGCAACTTCTGCGCCATTAAATACAACCCCTTCCGCCGATTATCCAGGTTTGGAATACCCACCCGTATTTGAACCTGAAACGTATTCACTTTCAGACCCTCAATGTAGTATAAATCTTTTGAGAAAACAAGACAAAAATAATTAACGTTTATTTTAGTTAATTTATTTGGGCTGTATTGTAAGATTTATGATCATGTTGATATTAACTTGCATTGAGAAGACATAATGAGAATGCTTTTAAAAATCCCAATCAATTAATCGTGTACAACTGTAGAGCAGTGCTAAACTCATATATACTGCTAACAAAGCAGTGCTTTGCTATTAAATGTTTTCCGCATGCGCGCTCAGAGCAGATATCTTCGTTCCTGATGAACTGTTCAATGCTCCACTGATCTGTACTGATATTTATTTGCGAATGGATATTATTTTAAAGTTGATCTACTCAGATAGAGATACTTGAATTATTAATATTGGCCTAAGCTATTTCTAATAACCCTCTGTATATTTAATAGCGCATACATATCATGAAGTACAGGCAGTAATGTGGACGATGAACATTGTCAACACTAAGCGTTTTTTTATCAGGATTACAATGGTCTAATCAGAAATACATTTGCGCTTCAGGTGGTTGAGATATTCAACCAAATAGCAGGAAACACCCTGTATATTTGCACGTTTTGGACAAAATTAAATTTTATACAAAAATGCAACTCTTAAATATTCTGTTTACCATATCCTCGATAAATAATGCTGAAAAGAACAACTTATGAAAAAGAACGACAATCAATATATTCCCCCACCACTGTGTACAAAAAAAACTGTATCATAAAAACATTTTTCAGTTCTCCAACTAACAGTGTATTCCGAGTTAAAATAGTTTAACCCACTTCTTAACTGCAATAATAAAAAAGTTGGGAAAATGCCGGCTGTAGTTGAAACATCAGTTTAAATCTTATGTGGTACATAAAACCACCATCTTATTACGATACAGTCTAAATAATGTAAGTTAGGATTTAGATAGATAGCTCAATATAGTACACATTATACAAATAATGATTACGACTGTGATTTTTAATCAGAAAACTGGTATTTGTCCATTAGTATGTTTACTTATTTTTTATTATTATTATTGCATTCTTATTGTATTTTTAACTATTTATGTGTTATAGAACTATACATTGTTACATTAAATATACTATTTTTATTCTTTGTGATAGTAATGATTTTACCTGTGTAGCAATACTGAATTATACCTTTATTTCGCATTTGTTTTCTGTTCCAACGTCTGAATTTGGCAATGTTATTACCATTGCTAAATTTGCGAAGGTTCCTAACTTTCTGCACCCTATTCTTCTTTCGAAGCAGTGCCATACTAACCTTTGGAGCTTTGTCTAGATCCAGGAAGGCTACATACTTAATCGTTGTCTTCCTTCATATATTGTTGTGTAAGTGAACGTTTTTATTCTATTCAGCACCTGTGTGTATTTCATTTAATTTATTTTTTACGTATATGTCTCGTCATTGCGATAAGAGTTTGTTATTGCTACGTAAAGCTAATTAAGTCTGAAATAAGCAGGTTTTCCCGAAGAAAACAGGAGAATGTTTTAAGTAGTAGAGGAAGACGTGAATCGTGGCTTTTTTGGTAGTGGATATTGATCGTTGCTTTTTGTTTTGGGGGACAACAAATAGACATTCGACTGATTTTTCGTTTGGAGGGACATGCCGTACTGTAATTTGGCACGTAGCCGAAGTTATAATGTTTGAGTTTGTATTACTATCGGAGTAAAATGTAGAGTCCGCTCACTTTGAAGGCTCAAATCTCAAAATCGCTGGAGCCGATATTAATGAAATTTTTGGAACGTATCAATTGGTAAGTTGTTGTTAACATACGTAAATTGTAAATTTTTGCTGCCAGGACTTTTTACGTTATCGAATTTTCCTCACAAAAAAGTACTCTAAAATGCGTGATTTGTCGCGATGCTCAACTGTACAGGTCCATAAATAGTTTATTTTTCCACGAAAATTCATACATTTCGGGTATTACATAACCCAATTCTTGCTGTAGCTATTGTAGAAAAAATTATGGAAATATCTTGTTCCCTTTTTGCGTAATTAGCGGAAAAGCAAAAACATTGCAACGCAGCTATTATTGAAGGAAACGACTTCATTCTTTTTTTATAAGATGAATAAAATAGCAAACGCCATAAATGCGTACATATTGTCTGAAAACAACTTGTGGATGTTTGTTTTTGTGTAAATTAGCCAATACTCTACGTACGAAACAAGATGAATAATAACCTGCGGTTTTCATGTGTGATGTGCGGCAAACATAATAACAATTTCATGCATATATTACTTAACCGTGTACTTAGCGTGTGTGCCGCTTTATACGAAACGTTGCTGCAAGGTACAACTTTGCGATTAAATGACCTTCCCCCCAACTCCGCTCGAGGTGTTGCGTTTATCTCTTTCGCTCAAAATATATTAATTCCTGCAGCCCTTCATATTTTTTTGTCATTGATTCTATTCCGTGATCATATCATTTGTAATTGTCCTTTATCGATATGAACAAAAGTTTTTAAAGTGTATCTTATAATAAGCGAATAAACGCGTCTGTCATTTTATCGCTGTAACGTTTGCGTAATTATACAGAAATGCATAAAAATGTATCAACGTATAGTTAAAGGTGTATTCTATCACATACGTAAACATTATCCTATTTGAGTGAATACTTTGTAATTAAATCCTAAAGTTCTGAGTTCGTATACTTTCATTGAAAAAGCGCGCTTTCCCGTACATATTTCACTATCACATTTTCCCAAATTTAACAAGAAATATGACATTACGTACGGATACGTAGAAATAGTTGACGATTTTATTACGCTTTATTTGATAAAAATCGGCTGGCTAGTTTTTTTTTTATAACCGTTTAAAGCCAGCGGACTCTACATTTTACTCCGATAGTAGTTGATTTGGCATTCTACAATCGAAAATCTTCTGCTTTACTATTTATATAATGCAATTAATATTTCCTAAGGTAGTTGTCCTTTTTTTCGCATATTTTTATTTTTTGGGTATAATATACGAACCGAATTATAACTACAACACTACAAAATATACCTACACCAGTTTTTGCTCCGTGGCCTCGTGTCGCACACGCCTCTGGTCTGGAAACCGCACGCCACTGTACTTTTAAAAGCGGTTAACAACCACAGACAGAATACTGACAATAAACTAACCTAAAAAGTAATATTTTCCCGCCTATTGTAGATTAATGAATTTTAAGTAATATTGCAATGGCAAGTGAATATAACGAGGAAACTCTGCCGGATCTGCTTCCTCTTTATTATAAACGTCTATTTCCATTCGAACTGTTCTACAAATGGTTAAGTTATGGTAAGTCGAAAACTTTGCTGTATTACCTCTTCATTGCCCGTCGATTGCTAGGAAATTCCTCCTACTTACAATTTCGTGAGATCTCATTCACTCTTCTTGGAGAAATCTACATTAGATACCAATCATTCAACACGCTGGACGAGTTTAAACTGGAACTCACTAAGAAATTTCCTGTGAAGATCGATATTGGAGCTGTCTACACCAGTAGACCGAAGGAGAGAAAGTTAATGAGTGTTTTGATACCGAAAGAGAAAGAGGTTGTCTTTGATATTGATATGACTGATTATGATGATATACGAATATGTTGTTCTGGGGCGGAGGTGTGCGTGAAGTGTTGGAAGCTTATGGTGATCGCGTGCAAGATATTAGATGCAGCTATAAGGGAGGACTTTGGTTATAACAATCTGTTGTGGGTATTTTCCGGTCGCAGAGGCATTCATTGTTGGGTTTGTGACGAAGAGGCACGCAAATTGGATGATTCAGCACGCGGTGCGATAGCGGGATACTTGCAGCTTGTTCAAGGGGGTGCCAATCAATCAAAGAAAGTGCACTTACCTGGCCATAACATACATCATTCAATAGAGTAAAGGAACACATTTCAGTAAAGAGAAATACAATGATTGAATTTTCAGGAGAGCATTAGAGATAATTGATAAATACTTTATTAATGACATAGTGATCGAACAGGATATATTAGGCACAGATGAGAGATTAAACAAATTTCTATTGATCATTGATGAAGACATCAGGAACAACTTTAAAGAAGTAATGAGTAAAGTCAAAACTTCAGAAGAGCGCTGGAAGGCTTTTACTGAGGAAGCAATCAATTTGGCACGACAGGTTAGTCACTCCCATCCTTTTATTCTTATGACATTGAAGTTATAGCGGAAATTGTCTCGAACACAACAACATATCAAAGAAGAAATAATGTTACAGTATTCCTATCCTCGTTTAGATATTAATGTAACACGAGGCCGCAACCACTTGCTTAAAGCTCCCTTTTGTGTTCATCCAAAATCTGGCAAAATTTCGATTCCCTTTTCAGCCAAAGTTGTGGATCGTTTTAATCCCAATGCTGTACCAACCATCAGGTAATGAATTCATTCTTTAAAGTTGCTTAAAATAACTTCGTAGCCTTCTTGTTGATGAAATTAACATATACGATGGCAAAACCAAAGAGCAAGAAGTGAGTATTAATGATCAACAATTGGAAGAAGGTTTTGTAAGTACAAAGACAGTCAAGGATTATAAGAAGACAAGTATGTTAAAGCCAGTTAGTATTTTTGAAGAATTTTTGCGAGGGTTAGCAAAAAGTAGGAGTCAATCTAATCAAGTTACTGGTAAGTAATTGACTTTATGTAGAGAAATCCTTAGAAATAATTTTTTTAGCTCATGACATGGAATTTTAATTGTTTTATCCAATAAATCATTTTTTTTGTCTGTTTTGTATTATTTATATATTAATTATTAACTGCCTTGTTGAACTCCAATTATACTGGAGAAGCCCCAAATATTAATTATACTGACAAAAGTTATTATTGGTATAGGTACAGAAGCAACAAGTCCTAACGTAAGGCTCTAAGCTATACAATGGATGTGATTGAGTGCTTTAGTATATCTATTAGCAAAAACACGTACGTTAATTAATTTTCGCCTGATAAAACTCATCGCAATGACCAGATGCATCTTATTACTTCTAACCCCTTATCGAAATTAAATAAATTACAAAAGCGATAAAACGAAAACTACGCAATTACAAAATTTCTTAAAGGAAAAACAACACAGATACAAATTCAAGTGAGAAGAACCAATTCTCGTAAATAATCCCCCAGATAAGTTTAGAAACATAAAAACTGTTAGGTTTAGATATACATGTGCGATATGGGTTGCGATTCTCTAATTTCTACATGTGCTGTAGTTTTAAATAATGTTAAATTTACGCTCCAAGGCCATGATAGAACTTTCCATGCAGTTTTTCACAAGGGATTTTATTGCACCAAAGATGAGTCACATCCTGTACACTTCACCCTTTCTTAGATTTTTTGGCTACCTGCTTACCTGACCCATTGTTCCCTAAACTTGTCTCTAATGTGGTAAGTAGGTATTATAATCCCACGATAACATGGAGAGTTAATTACACCAAATTCTTGTCTTTAATGTTGACTGCAAACAACTTGGGTATATATGCATTTTCTATCTTTTTTTGTTCACTGTCGCGAATTATTTGGCTAACTTTTTTTGGATTCATTAGTCAAATGTCAAGGTTTTTCTCAGCCGTACTCTTTATCCTTGGCAGTTGCTTTTGCGAAAGTTCGACACCTTTTGGCTTTGCTTACATCAAATATATCATAAGAGTAACAATCATTGTTAAACTAACTTTTCACAATTTCAGTGTTTTATTTTGTGTTCCTTCTCTGCCGTACTTCCGGTTGAAGCGTTGTCTTCAATTAACGTAAGGGGGCCGTGAGATTGCGGAATGTTGCATCCGGTGTCCTAATTAAGTTCTTCAATCGATCACTTGTGCGTGGTATTTGTCTGCTGGCCCTCGGCGCCATTTTTTATTTCGGCTTTATTATTCATTAATTTATGATGAATATATTTGTTTCATCTGTAAATGATTATCTTTGTGTGCAGTCGACCCCAAATTGCGACCTAGGTAAGAATTCTCATGTCAAATTCCCTGTTGGTACCCATAGGGTTATGCCAAGTGTTTAAATAATTATTTCAAACGCAATTCTTTGGAATCATGACTGATCAAGGCGGCCGAGTTAACTGAATTATAATAAGCAAATTAAAGACTTTGGATTCGTCCCGAATGATAAAAATCTTTTGTACTTAAAAATTGTTTTATATTTGGCAAAAGTAATGCGAAAAAATAATTTATGCCGCCTTGATCACTGAATTTTAATATCTCGGGGTAAAATACTTACGCTTGCAGAAAGTAAAACTACTCCAAATATAAAAATATTTATTTCTTTATCAAGATAATAATATATATAAAAAATATTTTTAGGCACTGTAAATTAGTACATATATCATTTTAAATAGTACATATCTATTAATTAAAGCTGATTTGTACACGATAGTAATTACATTATCTACCTACAATACTATGTTAAAAAAAATAATTAAAGTAGACACTGGTCTACTTTAAATATTTTCACCTCCCCATACATCGATATACAGGGTATCGAGGAAATAAGTGTCATAAATGCCTTCAAAATGGATTTATTGACTAAAGTCAAAAGTTCTGAACTAAATTTCTTCTTCTGTTCAATAGTGTTGGAAAATCATTCCTCATAATATATCAACTTTTCGATCACTTTCAAGGCTTCAACTTTTAGTCACCCTGTATACCAAAAACTTCCTATTAATTCAAAAGCTATAAATACATCTTCCGTAGTGCCCAAAGCACACCGGGTCTCGTTGATCTAGATTGAAGCCAACCACTCGCAGTATTTGTTCAATACAATTCAACAAAGCTACATTGACAAAAAATATTTGATCTGTTTGACACAGCCTATCACCCATTTTGTAGAAAGTGTTATATATATTTACAGTTACAAACTAGTCATTGCAGGCGGCCTCGCATACGCTTTCGGTATAAATCCATATTTACGTGTTTTCGGCGCATACGCCCATAACCATCCGTCGACTGTTTGATTCGTGAGATCGGCGTAAATCCAATCGCCTCTTCTTACGGATAGATCGTCGGGCGCTTGAGCTTTATAATCGTACAACATCACAAGCTCTGTGCCGTGGTATCTCAGATCGTCCGCGTTTGAAGAATTTATATGATGCGAGTTATTTTGGGCGGAAAATGTTCCGTTGATGTTTTGATTTGGATTATTATTTAAGTGGCCTACAAAATGAATCGTTTAATCTAATAATGATGGAATGTATGTGTGTAAAATGAATGGCCCTTTTATAGCAAAACTGTAGCACAGGCAACCAATATATGTCAGTAACTCCCTGACTTGATTATATTAATTTAAGAAGATAATAATGTCTTCACTGGATATTCTAAGATGTGTATGGATAATACTTAAACCATTCACAACTATTAATTAGTTTACGATGAATGAGTGGGTGACTTTTTTCTTGAATTTTTTTTGCACCACTTGAACCTAATTAAATTAGCTCGCATTCGGAAACGCGACTTAATCCGGCTCATATTCAATAGCACTAATCCTTGAACTCTTAGAAATCGATTGGCCTCTTTTCGTTCTCGAATTAGACGAGGAACAGATGGACAACACCATCACATAACGGGAATTTTTTTCTTTCGAAAAATCCCCCTAGAAAAATAAAAATATAACATTTCGTTGTATTGAAAATCTCTCAACGGTGCCTTGTAGAGTTCAAAAAGTTTCAATGAGAGAGTGTTTTCTATATTTTTTTGTGTCTCTTCAAATAGCATTTTGACCATCATCGTATCTTCTAGGGTTTCGGAGATCCCCATGATAAGACATACTTATCTTATACACAGTGTATGCGATAGTTTTGAAGCAAGAATTTTTTTCCTACAATAGATATCAGTTTCAGGGGATGATTTATTGGGGTTTAACTGCGTAAGCGAGACGAATTGGAGTGTAGCCGGACGTGACATGAAATGATGCCATGCACGTATTCGCATAACTGTCCCTTAAGGGTCCAGTGTAGGGCAACTAATTTTTTCAAATATAGAAACCTGCACTTTTTATTGAATATTCTTGTTCTACATGGGAAAACAATAAACTTTCGTGGGAAACGTTTTTCCTTACACTTTATTTTTCGAATGCACCGTTCTAAAAGCGCTATTTTGATTTTGAGCTAGGAAGCTGTTCTGTCAAGAATTTGGCATTTTTATTTTTTTAACTAGATTTTTTTGGAAATCCGCCAAAAGCTCGCCCCACCCTTACAACTAAAAATAAACATCATATTTTGTATTACAATTGTACATTGGAAAATATAAAAAGTTATCCTGCGACTACTGTAATAGCTGTGGCACAATGAATAAGAAAAATAGATAATCAGCTGTGAGTTGTAAAAAAATTTATAACGCACCAAAGGGACATGGACTAATAAGTCACAATTGTTATTTACAACTTGAGCATACTTTAATCGACCATTAACGGTGCAAGCCACCTATACAAAAATTATATTAGAGTAGGTACCTATAATGAGTACCACATTATGATACTCATTTGATCTAATGGGGTAGATTTATGTTCTTTATAGAGTGGGGTACACTATGGCCACCTGGTGTCTAGGTCTACAAACTATAAAATGATCATTAGATATCATACATGTCCATAACAATCTGTAATCATTTGAAACCTATTGCAATAATTTTTTACTGCTCCCTAGTTTTCTGTATAAAGCCAGGAATAAATAGGTATTAATTACGTATTTTGGTTGCCTATATACATACTAGTTTTGCTACCCAAGGACCATTCATTTTAGAAGAGATTGTACCTTGAATCACATTGTCGGCAGGATAGACAAAACCGGACGGAATGAATCCCTCTTGGCCATCACTTCTGACTATCCAGTACCAATCTGGATCTTCCCTATTTAAAACCGTAATGAATTCCCCACGTTCCACCGATACGTCGTTTTCATCCCTAGCTATAAAAGTGTACAAAACAATGTAACGACCGGACGGATCTTTCGAAAATGGCAACATATCCGGCTCGGAATGTAAACTAACTGGTGACGCCGCAACTCCGGCTTGTTTCTTCTCCAAGGAGTCGCAATCACTCGTATCCGCACCAGCTATTTCTCTACGACATAAACTGATTTTGAAATGGAATGCGGCTTTAGGTACTTACGGTTCATGACTAGTTTCTGCTTGTTCGGGTGTAGGTTGTCCGTTACGAGGTAATTTTTTCTTAATGGCTAATTCGGCTAAATGGCTATTATATGGCGTGCAATAAGAATGAGGTATGAAACCTTCCTGTCTCGAGTCCATTGCAATAACATAAACCCAGTCGTTCTCTCTATATAATATATTAACAATCTGCCCCCTTTTAACTTCCAGTTCGTCGTCGACACACGGTGTAAAGTCGTGTAGCACCACCATTTTACTGTCAGGAGACAATCCGTGCTCTTTCTCGATACCGACCCGTACCAAAGTTTCGATACTCGCAGATCCTGTAATCCGTCCCATTCCTGTTGTTAAACCGGAACTGGTCCTCATCAGTTCTTTGTCATTATCTCCAGTAATCGCTAAAATTAAAAAATCCAGCAAATTAAATTTAGAAACCATTTTTGTTAATTTGCATGCAACTTTATTCCTTCTACCTACGTTTTTTTTTCTTTCCTCGACGTATTCTGACTGGACACAGAAAAGCCATAATTAGTAATTTTCAAATTAAAAACTTCACATTAATAAATTATAATTAAAAAATAAATATGTTCATCATCTTAACATTAACTTTCTTAATCTTAAGCAGAAGAACGAGATTTACAAGAAGTGGTCCAGTTCAGTGTTGCCAGGTGGATATTTCTTTTCTGTATAGGTATAGGTACCTGCTTACCAAATGCGGTCGCATCTCAAGAGTTGTAGCTGGTGGGGTGTACCCGCGGGTGCAACTATTCTCATCCTGTAATCCTGTATTTAAATGCACTGTCTCCAATTTTCTAAAATGTGCGTTTTTAAATTTTTTCTCATCGACTTCAGTCACGTTCAAAGATTTTTTAAGAACACCCACCCCTACTCCAATTTTCCACAATTTTTTAGGAATATAAATATATACGTGGAAAATGTATCTTGGTGAAGTTTTTAACTTTTAATCATATAAAATTGCGAGAAATTTACTGTTACATATATGCAAGCAAGCCTGATGTGTTAATAGTACCCATTCAAATGGGTGGCATTTCCAAGGGGTGGTTTTTTAGTAAGTACATATATAATTTTATATGTGGAACACATTCTTGCACACTTAGAACATATATAATTATATACTACTATCTGAATTCACTATTGTGAAATGCGTTTCCATATATTTTCCCAATTAAATCAGGGGAAAAAAATTTCAATCAAACTAAGACGAATACTTCGCAAGGTATTTGAATACTTAACCTTCCTTTTTTACCAAAAATCAACTACACCAAAATTTCTCGGGAAAACACTTTTTCTTATTAATTTTGGTGCGTAGAATCCAAAACAATTCGTACTTTTTCGATCAGACTTCTCAATCAAAAGGTATAGACTAGAAACCAATTTCGAAAGAAAATTCAAAGGGCTGTAACTTTTGAACTAGTAGCCCAATCTTGGAACTGTTTGAAATTATGGATTCTACAGGTGACATTCTATAAGAAACTTTTTTTTCCGGGTCGGTCTGAGGCAATTTTTTTCCAAAAATCGACTGCACCAAAATTTCTCGGGAAAACACTTTATCTTATTAATTTTGGTGCGTAGAATCCAAAACAATTCGTACTTTTTCGATCAGACTTCTCAATCAAAAGTTATAGACTAGAAACCAATTTCGAAAGAAATTCAAAGGGCTGTAACTTTTGAACTAGTAGCCCAATCTTGGAACTGTTTGAAATTATGGATTCTACAGGCCACATTCTATAAAAAAAATTTTTTTCCGAAGCGATCTGAGACAATTTTTTTTCGGGCTTCAAAAAAAGTATATAACTTTCCTTTTTTACCAAAAATCGACTGCACCAAAATTTCACGGGAAAACACTTTTTGTTATTAATTTTGGTGCGTAGAATCCAAAACAATTCGTACTTTTTCGATCAGACTTCTCAATCAAAAGTTATAGACTTAGAAACCAATTTCGAAAGAAAATTCAAAGGGCTGTAACTTTTGAACTAGTAGCCCAATCTTGGAACTGTTTGAAATTATTTATTCTACAGGCCACATTCTAGAAGAAAATTTTTTTTCCGGGTCGATCTGAGACAATTTTTTTTTTCGGGCCTCAAAAAAAGGCAGTGTATACCTAACCTTCCTTTTTTACCAAAAATCGACTGCACCAAAATTTCTCGGGAAAACACTTTTCTTATTAATTTTGGTGCGTAGTATCCAAAACAATTCGTACTTTTTCGATCAGACTTCTCAATCAAAATTTATAGACTATAAACCAATTTCGAAAGAAAATTCAAAGGGTTGTAACTTTTGAACTAGTAGCCCAATCTTGGAACTGTTTGAAATTATAGATTCTACAGGCTATTTGAATACTTTTCAATGTATCTGTATCTATTATTCGCTTGTGCTGGACCGTTGAGTGAAAAGGACGTAAAAGTATTTAGTATTCAAATACTTTTTGAAAGTATTCTGCCCAGCTCTGGTAAGAGAATTACTTCATGCCGATTAGGAGATAATTGGCTATAAAAAATTAATCAGACCCAAAAATTTCTTAAACGAAAAATTTGAACGCGATTTTCACTTTACGTCTATTTCAAACGAAACAGATTAAACATAAAATTCTCGGACTTGCCTTACTACATGAAATTTCACTTAAAATCATGAAGCATCCAAAACTGTATTATATCTATTATTACTTGGTGGTATTCACCTTTCATGCATAGGGGCTTAGAAACCGACCGAAATTTTATTATAGCATCTTATGTTACAATAGTATAAAAATTGGCAAATTTATGTACAGCAAAAACATATTCCTAAGTATAAAGAAACAATATGCTGCTACCGAATGTCGTTGGTTTGGTAGTAATCCATTAGAACTTTCCAAGCCCTTGGACTCATGAAACCATTGGGTGGATCTACACCCGTCTTCGCAAAGTCTGTAAAATATAAGTTAATCAATTATGAGTGGTAAATGTAAAACAAATCTTACTTCGCATTTTAGTACCAGAAATAAAGTCAAAATCACTCTTTCTGCACGGATCGAACAGGTCCATTTTTTGATATTTTGTATCATAAGCCGCCACTCGAAACGGAATTATTTCCAAGTCGTGTAGTCCAGGTGCCGATTTTAAAACCATCGCGCCGTGTTGTGAATCGTATAAGTTTCCATCGATCGTACCTTTGGTTCCGAGCGGGTGCGGTATACCTGCGGGATCTCTTCCAACAATATAAAAGTTTGCACCGGCACACATGCGGGCTTTGGCATGCCATTGCACCTGCATACGTATTGGTTAGCGATCTCACAATTTAGATTAGCATTACCTCCGTTGGGCCGGCATACATCATGGGACTTGGAAAAATGGCCAAGACTGTAGTGGCCTTATCCAGTAAACGGTCGTCTAGAACAGCCTTGTGTTGTAAAATGCGAGTGGTGAGAGGAACGTCATCATCTTTAGTCCACCCACCCAGGGGGTGCAAAAGAAGGACGGGGTTCTTGTAGCCTCGCTGTTTTAGTTGATCTCTTGTCTGTGTCATAAGCAATGCGTGACCGTTGTGTATGGGGTTGCGAAGCTAGAAACGTACGTTGAGTATCATCACTATAATTTGAATGTTTTACCTGAAACGCAAACACGGCATCCGCTCCTTTAGCGTTGCATTTTGCTCTAAGCTCCATTGGAGTGAGCCGATACTTGTCTAATCTGTCGTGCCATTTTACTCTTTGTAGCACTTTGAGATCTCCACCTACTACCCAGTCTCCGGATTCGTAAATCATCTATGTAAAAAAAGGTTATAATTTGCTAGTACGGGTTGTGCAGGCATACCTTAATGTAGGGGTGTTTTTCATTCGTAGTTCCAAATTGTCGTGCTGCACGTTCCTCCTTGCGGTGAGGGAAGAATTCAGGATTACGTAGTATTGCATAAAGGGTGTCATTGTGGTAGAGGGAAATAGTTGAAGAATCTTCTAATCTAACTTTGTCTTCCGTTGAAATGGGTAGCACGATAGGGACACTTTGGTTTACGCGTTGTCCGCCAATTTGTAAACAATTGAAGTGTAGTACCTATCAATTAGTTTAAATCACTGGCGAAATCAATTAGGTTTCCTACTTGTAGATATTCCGCTTCCCGCATAAATCCTTTGAGAGGTGTCGCCCAGCCTTCGCTAAGCACTTGCAACCATTGTAAATCCAATGTAGTAATATTCAACCTGGAATGTTCCTCTATGCTAGATTTGATTATATCTATCTCATTTTCGGATGCAAACAGTTCCTTGACATCTTCAACGTGTTCCGTTCGTGGAATAATCTCCTAGAAATCCAGAATGTAGTGCGATGCACCACTGATTTGGTAACTTACATTTTCCTCTAGCATTCCCAAAACTTCAGCTACACACTCTTCAATAGTGAGTTTAACTGTTTTCAAGACAAGGTCTGGATTTTCCGGTTTCTCGTAGTCTTGGTCGATGCCAGTGAACCCCTTGATCAATCCACTACGAGCTTTGCGATATAAACCTTTAACATCTCTTTGTTCGCAAACATTCAGCGGAGTATCGACGAATACTTCAAAGAATGGCAGCCCCGAGCTTGCGTGTATTTCTCTTACCACGTTCCTATCCTGAAATACCAATTCAAACGGTCCCAAATCAAATGAGTTACTACGTACCTCGGCGAAAGGTGACACAAAGCTGCACAAACACACGTGGCCACCATCGGCAAATAGTTTTGCCACCTCTGCCACTCTTCGTATGTTTTCCATTCGATCTTCCTTGGAAAACCCCAAATTTTTGTTCAAACCTGTTCGCATATTGTCCCCATCCAAACCGTACGAGGGTATTCCCTTGGAGACCAAGCTCGCTTCCAACTCGAACGCAATTGAAGTCTTCCCAGCACCTGATAAGCCGGTAAACCATATCGTACAACCACGAAAACCTTGAACGGCTCCCAGGATTTTACCACGTTTCGATCTTGTAACGTGATGGTACTGTTTTGTCACATTGGTCGCCATTGCTAATGCTGAAAAGAGAGCGGACTAGAATCAATTTGAGTCAACACATATTAAATTGTATCATTTTAACCATCGGTCAATTAAATAAGAAAACAAGACATGTGCGTTGTATCTAGAAACTATTTTAAAGGATTAGGTAGATACCTAAACCTAATATGAAAGTAGCAATTACAAGCGTTATATGGAATAAGTGAAAACTTGCCTACTTTTATTCACCTATTTTGTATTGTGCGTTTTGGTTTCGCGTTAAATTTTTCAAGCGTGCACTCGCATTGTTTGGGATAACCGTTCGCACTGCACTTAACGGTTAGGAAATAAAATAATAAGGAAATGGTGAAAGTTTCACATGTGATGGATGACGTTAAATCTTGTCCCACATTTCATTCCTTCTTCTTAAATTATGTAACCACTTGCATATACGCAAATGTAGGCATTTTTTTGACTGGCGGGTAAGGTCGTTATGTATTAGGTTTTGAAGATCAGAAATTTTTTCTTATCTTACGAGGGTAGCAATTTCTAATTCTGAGATACTTAATCCTAGTTTGTGGTCAATGGACAAGGATAAACAGTAATCAGTATTCAGGAACTTAGTAATCAAATATTGCAGATAATATAATAAATCGAAGGTAGGTACTTTAATCATTACACTCGTACTTATTTATTGCATGTAAGTGCCTATTATAAAATTTCCAAATATTTATAATGCATATTAGAAGCGAGGTCCAAAACTTAAGCTTAACGCGTTTGATCGGTGTTGATAACTGATGGCCATTAGACCATGAATTGTGGAATTATATTAAAACAATTCCAAAATTACTACTTTAAAGTATTCCTAATCAGGAATTGCAAAAACTATTCTGATCTCGACTAAATTTAGTATGTGGGGATTTTTCAACATGAAAACAACAATTTCAATTTTCTCAAATTCTTGGTCGGATCACAAAAATGACCAACATGACCAACATTTTATAAAAAAATTCTTGTCTAAAAAAATTCGATATTTGGATATCTTGTCGCGCCACCGACAGGATATCCAAATCCAAATTGGTTGGATATTTTGTCGCTTTATTTGGATTTGGATAATTTGTCGATAAAAATTGGATATCTTGACGAAAACAATCCAAATTATTTGGATAATTTGTCCCTAAAAAGTTGGAATTTGGATTTCTTGTCGGTCCCCACTGGCTTCAGTGTAGGAGGGGTGACGCGACGGTGCGTTATGTGTTTGTTTTCTTCAGAACTCTTCTAAATAGACCTCGTACGTTTTCCTCAAGTTTCTCTCAAATCCGTTCAAGTTCTCAAATTCGCTTCATATTTTCCCTCAATCTTCCTTAAATTGCCCCTAAACTTTCCTAAAAGTTTTTCGCAAGTTTTTTAGTTGGAATAGAAATTAAAAATTATAACTTTGATCAAAAGAGTACTTAAAATATACAGGGTGTAGCACCTAAGATCAATCGGATCATAATTCCTTACCATATTGAAAAAAATGTAGGGGAAAAATCGTGTACAATTGTACAATTGTACACGATTTTGCCCCTACACGTCGACATGTTTTTAAGATATTTCTGCTTTACAGTGGCGTGCTGTATTCTAGTGGTAAACTTGAAGTGGAATGTAGGTACTTGAAGAGTACTTATTTTTTTAATGTAGCATATATACCCTTAACTTTAACGATTTCCTTGTTATAACCTTTCATCCTCCAAAATTGTCCATCTTTGAATTTTTCTTTAAAGAAACAAAATCGTCGTTTTTAAAATCCGTCATGTTTCCCCCAAGCTTTTTTCAATTTTCGATCTCAAGTTCATCAAAACTGCCCTCACGTTCCCGTCACATTGCTTCTCAAGGTAATTTTCCATTTCCTCTCAGATTCTCACTAAATGCCCACAGTATCTCTCCAAGTTGCCGTCAAATTCCTCTCAAGTTTCTCTATTCGTGTTTTTCCCCTCAAGTTCGTTTAAAGTTGCACAGCGAGAACGGCCATTATACCCAGTTGCACCACCATCAAAATTAAGCCTTGCTTAAAGAGCTTAAAGTTATGTTGAACTTAAAATCTATGGCAATAATTAACGATAAATCTTGTGACACACCGTCATTTAAGAGGCTCCTTTACAAGTCTTTACTGCAGAATCAATAAATTAATGGCGTTTTCTGTTCTTTTACTTGTTTCTCCAATATGTCTTAGCTGCCATAAATGATTTAACAATTTATTTTAAAAGGGTTAAGTGGGAGAGCAGATGGTATGGATGCCGTACCAATCTGAACTTCGCCCTTTTGGGTTGTTACATACATTATTTTTTAGTTACTATCATAAACTTGTAAACGGCAACTCAATAAACGACTATTATATTATATTATTATGAAAATCGTTGCTATGGCATTTAAGTTATGCTTAACTTTAAGCGATACTTAATTTTGATGGTGCAATTGGCTATATTGACTTACGGTCGTTTTTGAACAAATTTCAACGCCCAGAAAACCGAAACCGAGAGTTGTCACTCTGGAATTGGGCGCAAGCCTGTTGAGGGCCCAGAACAAGAGAGGGATAATAAAGAAATGAAGTTTACGATCCATGCAGGTAAACCAAACAGAACCTCTCGTTACCAGAATCAAAGAAGAATTTCCTGATGGAATTTCATTAAAAGATATCCAGCTCAATACTGATTCTACCGCTTCAGTTCGGCCGTCTAATTGTAGGATTTTTAGCAAATAAATGCTTCTACTTGCGGTTCCCGTGACAATTGGCATTTACCGAACACTAAACGAGTACGAAAAGGAACTTGCGTTGATTAAAATTTGATACTTGTCAAGTGTCGCTGAGGAGCTGGTTTATGGTATTGATACGAAAATTCCAACGAAAAATCAAAATTTTCTAAGGAACATTTTTAATTTTCATTATGTAAAATACTAAAACTATTTAATAGGATACTTACCGGATTGTAGTTAGGACTATACCGATCACCTTAATTTGTCTTCTCAATATTCAATGAACTTACAACTAAACGCCTTCTTAAAAACTGGACACTATTTAAATGCTATGTCAAGGATTAGATGTGGTTTATTTAAACCAGGAAATTATATAATAATACAAATTGTAGAATTATTATTAGAGATACATAGTTGCTATTGTTTACGAGAATCTGATTGTGTGACCGTGAAAGTTGATACAAATCTGCAAAAAAACATTAAACATTCGCGAAAAAACTTGCCAACTTAATACGCAACTTACTCTTTGCTTTGAAATTATGATACATGTCACAAAAAAATAGATTAGAACCATTCAAACCGCCATGAAGAAGGCCTTTTCTGAGATACAAAGATAACAAATTCATTCATCTACATAGGTAGGTAGCATAGAGTAAAATTGTGAATGTTAAGGCAGCAAATGTATCATCGCCAACCAAATTTTTAATTTACACACATTTTCGATTTTTCTTTCTAGCGTTCAAAGATGTTACCAAAAGTCTTACACACTTTCATTATTCAAGTTCGATTCCGATGAAAAACAGTCCTTGATATTGAGAATTCGTTACAGAAGCAATAAGAAGCGGTTTCCCATTCGACGCTGCAATAAAGCGAAAACCAAAGATATTGGGGACGTTAATGAGAACCATATATTTACGTTATCCCCGTGGTATTTTATCGATCTGTGTATATTTGAGAAGGCATCTATTTTTAACCTTAGCAACAGCATCCTTATTTGCAATTTTCTTCGTTGCTAAGGCGATGTAAAAAGAATCTCTCGACGTTCACCTATAAATTGTTTGGCGCCTTCGCCTTTTGTTTCCAGTACAACAGACTTTTGTAGAGCAAAGGGTACCTATATAACGAAACGAACCCCATCTTCAACTGCCTGTTACTCTACGGTTATTGTCAGTATTTTACAGCACAGGGATGGATTTGCAATCAGTCAGAAAAAGAATCGAATGGTTTTTTGAATTTAAGTTTACAGATATCAGTTGTTTTGAGTACTTTGTTAGCTTTATGTATGAGCCTCGAAATCCAAGTAGTTTAGGAGTAATGCGAATATTGTTTGGTAAGTTTCTTGTGCTGAATGTCGCTTACATTGTCGAATTCATCACACGTTTGCTGAGTTTTAGAATTTTAGATGACATTTTGTGTTCTTGTTCGTTTCCATCTGCACAAGACATTTTCTTCATCGAAGCCACAAGAACTTTTTTGCTCAAAAATAGATTCATTGAATCTTTTCCCTAAACATACAATTGATACAATTTCATTCATTTTCATTTATGAGAATATTAAAATTAAACTAACATTTATTATTATACTGTCATTCTACAACTAAATTACTAAATAAAATCCTTTCTTTCAAATTTTCAATTTAACAACTAACCCCTAACTACCAAAATTTTAGTAGTCAAGCATCTTCCAACCAGAGTTGGACATTAGTTTAGTTAAATGTCATTGTTTAAAAACTCTTTGATACGATATAGCAACAGGTTAAGTGGAAATTTTTTACGACAAATGGCAAATTAAATAAGCATTAGCGGAATTAATTTAAAGGGAAAATAAGTAAACTTACAAAATGTCGCAACTAAATCATGTAAGCGGACGAAAGTAGCGGCAGTCGGCGGCAACCTAGATGTGCTGTGGGCGAAACGGACGGACAGACTCGAGCGCCACCAAGGCGTATGGCCTTGTTCCTTGTCTAGGTCGACGGTAGCGGCGGTTTACGAGACGGTCTCTGAAGCCTCGGGTAAACTCAATCAGAGTAAACTCCAGGAATCGGACGGGTTCAGCAAATGGCGGCGGTCACTTCGAAAAAACAAAAACGACAAACTCCCTAGCGGGAATAAAAGCAACAAACCACAAAGTAGCGGTGTCTACGGGAAAGCAAATGCAGGAAAACGAAACAATGGGCCGTATGAATAAAAGTAAGCAAATGCTTATACTTGCAAAATTCAAAGTAATTACTCGTAACAGCCCCTTCATACTGGTCTGTTTAGCATGGTATAGCAGCGCTGCTCTGCGTCCTGTCCTTCTGCTTAGAAGCGCTGCTAAGTCGCCCAGTGCGAAGGAGCACTTACGAGTATTTACTTTGAATTTTGCAAGTATAAGCATTTGCTTACTTTTATTCATACGGCCCAATGGCCCATATGAATAAAAAGAAGCATATGCTTATACTGGCAAAATTCAAAGTAAATACTCGTAAGTGCCCCTTCACACTGGGCTGCTCAGTAGCTCTGCACTGCGTCCTGTAACATGGCTAACCAGCGCTGCTAAGTCGCCCAGTGTGAGGGGGCAGTTACGAGTAGTTACTTTGAATAGTGGAAGTATAAGCATATGCTTCTTTTTATTCATATGGGCCAATATCCCCCCTCTCCCAGGAACTAGTAAAAAGCTTACCTTGTAATAAAACGGGGAGGTACTGTGTAATAAAAGCAAAAGCTGTAGATACGGCTCGGTAAACTTAATATAAAAGCAAAAATTAAACGGTATAAATGTAAAATAAATTTACGGAAAAGCTCAGAATTACGGTACATACGAAACGTACTTGCGAAAATGCAAAAGATCGATTATTAAAATACGGTACGCGTGTCAAAGTAAAATTACGGAAAATATTAAAAATTGTGGCACTTACGAACGCACCTAGAAAAGACGCAGAAGGCAAAAATATAAGTTTACTGTTCGGGTAAACACCAAAAGCATAAACATTTTTTTAGCTACTGTTAATTGTACTTAAATGGTCGGATTGAAGTTTCTAAAGTCGCTAGTCCAGTAAGGCTCATTGTTAATTGCAATTTCTCAGGTCGCCATAAAGGTCTCTTATCAACCCGATAACTGCGTAAACCTGCAAGGCCTTGCAGTTTTAATGCTTTAATGCTATCTTGATGGGAACGGTTGCAAACGGCGAATTAATTGCATCTTTTGTTTACGGTAGCGGCGGCTGAAACACAACTCTAGAAATGAAATCAAATACCTTTACCTGCTACCCTTTCTGCGAAGGAAATCTGAGCTCTATGAAATTTGGTATCTAGGGTTTCTTCAACATGACAATAACTAATTCAAATTGCCTCAAAACAGGGTTAAAGTTGCAAAAATTGTTTTTTGCATATGCATAAACATTTCCTCCCTTCGATATGCAAATCGACCGATTTTTGAATTGTACAGAATTTTATTTTGCCGAGTTTTAGGGGGGTAGAAAATTCGCTGAGCCGCTGTATATGCTCGCATCGCTAAAAGTGGTGGCGTATATCTTTTGAGTTTCACCAGAAATTCTGTACCAACCTAATTCTTTCTCGGAAAAACTGCATTAAAATAGGGGTTGTTCGCCGAAACTCTTTGGTAAAACTATTATACTAAAAGTCTTCATTTTGTTATAATAGGGTGAATGATTCTCATATTATTTAACGTAATTTATAAATCTGCAATTGAATTCCAATAAAATAAACCATTAACAACTATTATTTGTCTTATCTCAAAATGAAATTAGGGAGGACATGCCGTGCCCTCTCCTTCGAATCTAAAATTGACAGGTCCGAATTTTTTTTTAATACTGTGTATATAGACCTTCATGGCAAATAGTGGCTGAAAGGATTGTACTCAGATTGTAAAATGAATACTTAAATTTAGTATTTTTTGTCCAACCAAAAGGATGGTATCACTGAAATTTAATGCAAAATTACCAATCAATGGAGCAAAATAACCCAAATCCTTTTGTTGGATTCAATTTTTATCAATAAATACAATACAAAATATGTTTCGTGCAAAAAATTTTCAAGGGTCGATTCCTTCAGGAATATTAAAATTACTTAGAATAAAGTTTCTCATACAAATTCCTAAAAATAACCGACCACTTTATACAAATCAAAAACTGTATACTCTTCTGGAAACAATTGACCTTATATCTCCTTGGAAAATGATAAATCGTGTCGGCGTTGTGAGCATTCCGCGAAGTGTCCCGGCCCTCAATAAACTTTTACTGGAAGTTAAAGTGATAATTTTTTACTACCACTCGGGCAGATTTAACTCAATAAATGCACGTGCTGGTTGTTGAAATCGCACCACGAATATTCACACATACCCAAGGATATTTCTCACAATGCAACGAAAAAATATCGAGCGCGAATCAATTTTTTTCCGCACTATGTACGTGATCGCTGCTTAATTTGATACAGCCTCAACGATAGAAAAATTGAAGTACAAACAGTGTACGTGATCGCTCGCGAATTCGTGTTTGAATTTCAAGCTCTCTCACGTCTTTCGTTATTTTAATGTCGTCCACGAGAAAAACCGAAAAGGGACTTATTTCTGAACGCAAATATGACCTCGACTGGCGTGGCCCCACAACCAATAGAAAGCCCGCTTTTTCCTTACCTAAGCTTCGGGCAGAACGGCACGAAAGTCATCGTGGGAACCGCGCACGCTTTCCGCAGTACGTTTCTTGTCATCGCTTCTTATCGCTAGACATGCTTTCATTCACGTTCGCTATGAAGCGAATATATAATATATATAGCCTATAACAAAATACAAATAGAAAACTAAATCATTGGTAACCTCGGGCGTTTCTGAAAATTTGATGCTACTTCAACTACCCTGCTCACCCTCTGCTACAACAACGCGCACCCCTAAAATCTCTGAAATTCTAACTTCATATAACATTCGAAAAGGCAATTCAAATTAAGAGCTACCATTACATTATTTAATAAACGGAACACTACTTTAAAAAATATCTTCTCAGTAGTTATAATAACTACGTCTATATCCATAGATTTTGTTTAATCTATGTCTAAACTACATCCATTTTTTAGGAGTGCTAATGATCATGGACACCCTATTTGAACGAAATGGTCTACACATACTGTACCGTTGGGGCCATAGTGAAGATTGCCACTTTCCACTATTCCCGCAGATGAAAGTTCCAAATTTTTCCACCATTGCTGCTGTCTACAGTGTAATGTTGGCGGGTAAACTCAAATGAAACACAACAAACCAACAACGGGGTACACTTTCAGGCGCAATCGGCGTAACTCTTGGATACAAGTTTCGGGTAAGCACCCTGTTCTTTGGTATTCCGTACTGGTACCTCATACTCCTGGACAAAACGTACTGGAACAATCACAGCTACCTGTTCGGTTTGGTTATCATTTTGCTTAGCGGATCTTCGGCCAACCACTCAGCGTAAGTAGGTAGTTTGTCTAGTCACGAGGATTTATTAGACGAATTTAGCTCGATTGATTCGTTGTGTGATGCCAAACTCAACAATAGACCGGTTCCGTTTTGGAATTATTTTATTTTACGTTTTCAATTTTTCATTCTTTACTTCATGGCCGGACTGAAAAAAATTGATGCCGAGTGGTTGTATGGATATTCAATGGATGACATGGGAGATCATTGGGTTTTCCAACCATTTAAGTAAGCACGCACTTATCGAGGAGGTTTGTAGGTGAAAAAATGCATTACAGGCTTTTTTTAACGACATCTCAAATTGATTACTTTGTCGTTCATTTAATTGGGTTTATCATTGATCTTACCATGGGATTCTGGTTAATTAGTCCAATTTCTAGACCCTACGCCATGTTTTTCTGCGCATACTTTCATGTTTTAAATTCCCGTTTATTTAGTATTGGTGAGTAAGCATAAGTACTGAGGCGATTAATCTTACAGTTCGTAGGTATGTTCCCGTACGTTTGCATTGCAACCATGCCAATTTTTTGTAAAGAAGATTGGCCCCAAAACCTTTTGCGTAGGTTTAGGTTCCGAGTTAATCCCAGAAGCGAGGCGAGTAATAGGAAAAAAATAGCAGGGCTGAACTTAAAAAAACGTATCGTTGCATCGCTTCTACTTCTGCATTGCGCCATACAATTCTTTCTCCCATACTCGCATGGTATCACCAAGGTAAGAGTTGCACCTGAATGTCAATTTTTCTTGGAAAGTGAGTAGGGTTTTAACAACTGGACGAATGGCTTATACGGGTATTCGTGGGATATGATGGTGCACTCTTGGAATTCGGCTCTTGTTGTGGTTCGGATCACAGACAATGAGAATGAAAGGGACTACTTCATCGATCCAGAAATTTGGACTCAAAACCAACGTTGGAACAAACACGCAGATATGTGCATACAATATGCGCAATGTTTGAAGGAAAATTTACTTCAGATTAAACGTACGTAATTAACGTGTCAAAGATAGGTATTACACTGGCAGCTTTTAGAAGGCTCTTTTGAATCGGAGTGGAAAAACTTGTCAAGCAATATTTCGGTTTACATTGACGTTTGGTGTTCGCTAAATGGACGTTTTCAACAAAGAATGTTCAATCCAAACTATGATCTTTTAAAGGCCAAATGGTCAGCGTTTACAAAAGTAGAATGGCTTTTACCTCTGATGGCGGAGAGCGGTGAATTTAGAAGCCAGCTACCGAAGATCGAAGATCATGTATACTCATGGTCTAATTATAGTGAAGTAATGTTTGTTGCTGACTTCCCAGGTAAGTCAAGTCGTAAGTTATTAAACCACTGATTGATCACTATTTTAGACATGGTGCTAGAAAATTACCTCTCTGTTGACTTAACCAATGTCACGTTGACGGTACTCAGTGGAGAAGTGATTTATGAAATGGAAAATGATCGTGAAATATACGTTAAACTTCCGAAAGGGTCGTATCACAAGATCCGGACGGGCAAGTTCCACAAGATACATACTTACGGACGAGAACCTTCACTATATATGTATACATTCATTAATAAAACCAAGGAAAAACTCAACGAGCATTGAAATTATCCGGTATCGTACCGTTGCAGTAAATAAAGTGTTTTAAAAGGCTGTTTATTGAAATATTAGAATGGTAAACCTGACTTAAGAATCATTCATTGATTCATTCAATTGATGATTCTAGAATAATTAGTGAACGGATCCGCCTTTAACTCCGTAGGCGGATATAATTGCGTTTTTCTTCTTTATCCATTTTCCATCGACAATTGTTACTTCATTTATAATTAACCATCTTATTTAAAATGTATGTATTTTATGACATCAAAGAGATTGTTACATTTGATTTCTTTTAAGGTTTTAATTTATGGTGCCAGTTTAAGGACCAGTTCAAGTTTTAATTTCAAATTTTAGTTTTAATGTTGAACTTGTATTACGATTCAGTAATCAATTCAATCGATCATCCTTGATTGGTGGTTTGTTAAACTAGGAAATTTCAATTGTAAATTCAAATTAATAAGAGTTTGTGAGTAACGTAATTCCAAACGTCCGAAAGGTAAGGGCATTCGAATTTATTTGGGAGCTAGCCGTCAGTTAAATACTTTGTGTTAGAAAAAGTCTCATTGCAGTAGGAAATCAACTTTAAATAATACGAACCCCTGCACTGAAACAAACTGTTACAGTCTTATTAATAATGCAAAACTTATGCCAACAAAGAGAAGGTAAGTAATTAAATGTTTAGCTTCTAACGATTTCTTATTATCGATTAGAATTGTATTAATTTCCCAACTTCGTTACTGCAAGTTACTGCAATGATATATTAAACATTCACCATTAATTTTGTATGTTTTTTACGCATATTTATTACTAAGAATGCCTGTCTTATAAATTTTATGACTTAAAACGCAGAGTGTTAATGAACAAACCTACATTTTATTTACACTCTGCACCGTGTACCAGTTCAACCTTGTCACCACGTTCGCGTAAGAAAATTATCCTAATTCATTGCGAAAAAGCTGACATACGCCTACTGCCCAATAATAGTCCAGAAAAGTGCACACAAGTTTTGCTTGAAATCATACCATCGTCCGTGTCATCTAATCTGTCTGTCCTCCCTTTTATCGGTGCAATAATTCTTTAACGGAAGGTCCTAGACGCTTGAAGTTTGGTGTATGGGTTCTGGGTTCCTCTTAGTCCTAGAAAGGTCACCTAAATTCCAGATAAAATCGTTCAATACTTTACATCCGAAATGAAACCGCTAGCTACCCTATGACTCTCAATTGGTCACGTTCACAAATATCTAAAATAAACTTTAGGTACGGATCAACAAAATTAATCATAATTAAGCATGAGACATTTGTCTGGATTGTTAAAGGGTTCGAATAAAGACACGATTTAGATGAATTCACACAAACAAAAAATTTATTTTAAACACATAAATTAAATTAATCATAAAATTACTTACATACTTACATTCTGTTAAAATCCCAAAAAATCCGAGCGAAAGCTCGATCTTGAAATTGGCAAAAGGCCCTTTTCTTCCGCCAACGTCAGTATTTAACATGTCTTCCCTACTTTTCACAATTCGAAAAACTTCATTCAATTAACGGAACGTAGCAACATGACAACCAATCAAAATTCCGTTCCTAGACGCCCTTTAAGTCACATAACACAATTTTACGCGGAATTCTCTTATGTCAGATATCAATTTTCCTGTTGTTATCGCTAATAAATTACCTACATCAACCTTTCAACAAAAATAAGCGCTCATAAATTAAATCAGAACTGTCACTTAATGATTTAACTAAACGAAATTGATAACAAAAGTAAACAATAAATTGCCCTACATTTAACAATTCTAGGAAATAATGTTTTACAAGAAAAAAAAATACACCACTTGGATGCAACTAGGAAGGCAATACTCGCATTGAGTTTACAGGTAAAACCCAACCAGGATAAGTAAATAAATTGAAAATTGAAATTGAAACGAATTACTGTAATTTTGAGAAAAGTGTTCTTCTCTTCAAAACAACTCCAAAACAACTAAAGATCCGTAAAAATGCTATAGTATCAAATTGTAGATTTTTTCATTCCAAACATCTTACTCATCGGATATTTATCCGTACGACAAAAATTAAGTGAGATATAAACGCTTAAAACATGTATTTACATGCAAGCACTACCTTCTTTCACCGCCTTTTAAAACTAAGGGATTTAGACTTGTATAGCTCTTGTAAAAAACCCACAAAATGGTTTTCTCTATTATAAAGGAGTTATGATTAAAAAATCAATCGTAACCTTTTTCGAAAAATGTGTGGTGGTTTTTAATGTGGTTGAAAAATTACAAAATGAAATTAGTAATACATTTTTTTTAATTTAAAAGTTGTGATAAATTATTAGTTTTTTGAGGATAAATACCTTTTTTTAATTATACTACAATAGGGGTTGATTTTTAAGGATTGAAATATTCTGAGAAAGCATCTAATTACTCAACTCATCTGAATCAAATTTTACTCACTTTAAGCGTTAATATATAGTTTTATGGGTAAAAAGGGCAAAAAATTAAGAGCGCCCATCGCCCATCCATATTAATAAATTTTGAAGGGGATGGTAACTTAAGCTTAATCCCAAATGTGTTTTTAATGTTAGTCCTTCGATCTCAACTGGCTGGTATTAATATATAGGTACATCAGGCAGAGTAGGATGTTATGGAATATGCCCTGAAATTTCAGTTTGGTGACGATGTATGTATACGAAAATTTTACCAGACGCTATTTTCTTGGAGGTAAAGGTCTGGGCTATAAATATTGCATCTAGAATTTTAAATATTTCCGGTCGCCAATTTCCCTTTCGATTGTGATCAAATTTCTTAGAATTTCGTGTAATGTGAAGGATCAAAAATAAGAGTTAAACCTTTCTCTTCATGCATTTACTAGTAGGATTTGAAGAAATGAAATTCGCGATCTCGCAATCTTTAATGTCATCGTGGACGCGGGTGCACAAATTGCACAAAGCTAAACTTCTTGTACTTCGTAGTTCATCACGCCATAAAATCCCTAAATTATATTCTACCCAGGATATTCTAATATCCCCACTTATGGTGCTACATGTGTAAGTGGTACATTTCTTATTTAAATTTCGAGTCTCGCAGATGTGTTAATAGTCACTTGTAATTTTGGTCTATAAGTCAATTAACAACAAATTATGCACCCAGATCGTTTATTAATATCAGCCGCTCGCTTCCTTAAACAGTAGTGAATTTTTGTGCTTCCTTCTTTTTTAAAATGTGGATTAGAATAGTATCGGTAAGATCTAGTTATTATTACATGCGCAGCACTATAACGCGTAAAATTTAAATTTCAAAAGTTTGCGGTGAATAAAAAAGCAAATGACATGAAACTAAATGAGGTAATGATTAATTTACTATTGGACGTGAAGGCCAGGCGTAGTGAAGTGAGGCATTTAATTAAAATAATAAAAATGTTAAACAAATTTTCAAGTAGATGTATGCCCTCTAAGCCACACTCGTGCGCCGCATTACTTTCTGTTAATTTAAAATTTTAATATTTATGTTTACAAATGGTGCATTGCCAGTTATGATCTATGGAGAAAGTTGCAATAATCGTTATTTTGAATTATTTAACGTACCTACGTTAAACGTAAAGAATTCTCAGAAAGTTTATATCAATCTAATGTAATGATTCGTATTGCATAGGTAATTTATTGAGTAATACAAAGGCAAGTTCTTGACATTGAAAGTGAGATTTTCTGGTATGGTCTAATTAATATGGGTAACGACACTTTAGGTGGGAAGTACTTCAGGGCAACCTAGGGCACACCAAATTATTCAATTGCCATTAACAGATATGTCGATTAATTCCTTTAAAGGTTACATAATTAGAATTTATCTGTCACTTTTACCTGTTGCATGTTTGTTAATTTTTGAAATTTTGCCAAAAAAATTCTTTCGAAATATACCTACAGTATTTGAAAATTAAACGATTTTATGACTCTACGTGACCCATCGCATGGCAGTAGAGAAAGTAAAAATTTCTTTGACGAAATACACAATGTTTAATGTGTGCACTTTCCCCACCGCCAACATTAACTTCACACGTTAAAAAGGTGGTGATTAGTAAACCAGATATCAGCATAACGCAATGCCGAATATGAGAAAAACTTCCTAAAATTATATAACCTAATGGGAAAATGTAAAACTAATAAAGATGTATTTAAGGCAACATTAAGATCATTGTTAAAACTAATAAAAAAATAATGAGGGATCGTTAAAAACTATGCGTGAATTATAGAAGACCAGAATGTGGAGAATTAGACTTTCTCTTGCACAACTTCACCTTTTTGAGAGTAGGAAATAGTGTGTTGGGCGCAATTTTTTTAGGGGTGAGATGACAACACTGTTATTGTGACATTGTGTTAATTAAAGTTGTATCAAGACAATCAATTATAGCGTTGTTGTAATTACTTTTAGACACATCAAGGATTTCGTGTAATAAAATATGACCACAGCAATAAACATTATATTTATTTATAGGTAGATATAATAATCCAGCGTAACTGAGTAATTGGATTACATCAATTCTTTTTTCGTCAATTTTTGGTTCCGATGGATTTTGAGTAGGGCAACATTTAAAGTGGCTCTGATCAATATACATGAAACAAATACGACCACTTACTTTGACTTTAGTACTATTGCAAATGTGTAATGCTGAATGAAGTAAATTTACTAAAATGAAGTGCATTTCGAAATGGACCATTGACAAATTTCTACAGATAGGTTTTTTTAATTCTGGTTTGGACAATCGATATCGTAGTTTTACCGCTTGAATAAGTTTGTATATGAGCAAAATGATCCACTATCTTCATAATTAGTTTAAGTTGCATAATTTTACTTCTATTTTGCGACCGGATCGAAGCCAAAAATTCCTTAGTTGCCCCTTCCATGCCTTCTTTGAAGCTAAACATACACTTTTGTTGAAAACTCGAGAATGATTTTACAATCAATGTTCATACTTAATAAGGGAAATTGCTGCTTGGTCTGCCGGGGAGTTTGGATTAGATATTGG